TTTTTCAATCTCACATGAAGTCTGAAGTCTCGTTGGCATCTGCTAATTTTATACAACGCTTTCCTTGCTTGGTTATCATTATCACGCCAGAAACTCTCTGCAATGACGTCGGTCAGTTTTTTTAATAAAAATAAATTTTACGACTCGGTGCAATGCCTTCTTAAGTCTCGATTTGTGCACCAATTTGTCTGTGGCGATTTGCATGAAAAATGAGCGTCGCCGTCGTAAAAATCATCTCTCGTAAAATATTAAAAAGCGGATTAAATTTTATTTTAAGAGTTGAGAAATAAAATAAATCGCAGCTGCCGCGTTGATGCTTTTATTGGCAGACGCGTTTCGACCAAAAATTAGGTGCCATTTGTCAAAATCGGTGCCGCTCTCTGCTCGATGTCGCACCTCGAAGGCCGATTTATAACAACTCTGGTGCGCCGCCGACAAAGGAATTCCTCGCGCCTGATATAAAAACCTCTTCTACACAAGGGCCTCAACTTGACCGCCGAATCTCGCGGGTCGTTGGCGCCGTCAAAGCTCTAAAATTTATTCGTAACATCCTAGATTGCAGCGTGGACATTAACACAAAACGTTTTTTTTTTAGTTTTTAATAAAGAAATAAAAAATAAAAAATTTTCTCGTAAATTCTGCATTTTATTTTAATTTTGTATGCATGTTGATGTGTTTTGAATTGCAATAAATATTAATTAATCCAAAAACGGTAATCAATTTTTAAAATATATAAATTTTTGGAATTTTCCAACTTAGAATCATGTATTTTACATTCCAAGACCTTTGTTTTTAGTTTCTAAGAAACAAATTTGAAAATTTATTAAATTTTTGGTCCCAATGAATACGTGTTGAAGCGGGCGAATATCAAAGATTTAGCGGCGGCGGCTCGCATAGTGACGTCACCTCGCGGCATGTCATCAGAAGGAGGATGTCAGTAAAAAGGTTCCTAAACTGCTTGTTCGACCTGAGCAGCCAGTCTGTTTGTGGACAAGACCGCGCGCCGCGCCTTAGATAAGCGTGGAGCCAACACGGCCCGCCAGCATCCGAGTCGCTCATCTTCGACTTTGTCTCCCTTTCTGGCTGAGTAATTGGCCGCCGCTCCAACGGCCGGCCGCGCAACAAGCAAACAACAACAACAAAGCGGCCGCTCTTTGCGTTTCATCAAAAGACGAAGACAAAGAATGGTTAAATTTTTGAGCATTGAAAAAATGAGCTTTAATTTTTATTATAAAAACTGATCCAATATAAAAAGAAAAAGATTCAATATTTTGAAGTGAAAATCTTTCATCTGCTAAGGCCTGCATAGAATCATTAGCCTAATCACTAATTTAAAAATAAAAATTGTAGGTGTAATTGGAAATGGTTTGAATTTTGATTGACATTCTTTGCTATAAAAACATGATGTTTTAATGTTTGATGCGGCTTATTTTTTTTTTAAATCCAATGATTTTCATTCAAATAAAATGCTGAACGGGTTTGTTTGAATTTAAAAATTTTGAATTTCAAATAATTTAAAATCAGTAAAAAAACTCTAGCTTATTAAATATGTTCACATAGAGCATGAATTTTTTCATTATTTATATCAATAAATTCCACAAATTATAATTCACTGGCTAAAAAATGAATTTAAACCAAGTAGATTAAAATTTGGAATTTAACTCAAATAAAAACGCTGCTCTCCCTTTTAAACAGAGGAATTTGGTGAGGCGTGAGGAAACCCCTGCGCTTTTTTACACAAATGTATATTTTTTCTCCGAAAGTGAACCGCTTTTAGCTCTCGCTCGGCTCCTTTATGAACGCGCGCACTCTCGCCAATTATGTGAAGGGTGCTTCTCTCTAGGGGTAGAAGCACGGAGGGGTGGCTGCTGTACATTTATTTTCGCCTTCCAAGGGCGAACGTGCAGAGCGAGAAAGACGCGGAGGCGCTGGCTGGGTCGGTCGGCGGGAGGCGGGACGCACATCCCGGAGAACCAATCGCAGTCGCTACGAGCGCCCGTACTGAGGGAATAATAAAATAATTTACCATGGCAATATCAACCCGGCAGGCAAAACCAAATATGGAAATGCAAATGACCAGCCGCGGCGCGCACCAGAATCGATGTTTCTCCCTCCGAGCGGCGCTCAAACTTGGTGCCGCTTCAGCTACACACCCGAGCAGCTGCAAACTCGCAAAGATTTTTGATCATAATATGAATTACTGCACCGTCTTTATAATTATGAGTTGCAAAAGTATCACCCTAACTCTAAACAAAATTAAATGAAAATTTCAGTTGATAAATTCAATTAATTTTGAAATTTTTTTTATCGATAGATAAATGAGCAAAAGAAAATAATATTTATGTTTTTGAGAAATTCATTCTTTCTTTAAGTTGCCATGAATTTTTGCAAAACCTTAGGAGCCGGAACAGATCACAACTTAACTATGTATGAATGTTAAAATAAGTGGAAACCAAAGTCATTAAATTATCACATAAATTTAGAGAAGGTGGAGAGAATAAACAATATCAATTTTATCATATTTTTTTCAGTTCCCAAAATCAATTATTTTAATTAAAAATCCTTCTTCTACTCTAAACTATTTCACTTAATTTAGCTGTATCATAAATTTTAAGAAATAATTAGACTTCATTTTATAAATTATCAAGTCTCATTTTGCTATAAGTAATTTTATTTCATTTTTAGACAACAACAAAAAATCTTTAATAAAAATAAAAATCTTTCATCATATGATCTCCTCTATTGGAAAAAAAAATGATTTATTATCCGATTTTTAATAGATTATCTATGTACGTACGACTTTATAAAAATGAAAATGTAATTTTTCAAGTGTTTATATTTTGAAGCATATGTTTCATCTTTTTTCATGGCATTTTTTTTTTTAAATTTTATATTGAACTCTTTTGGACATTCTATAAAGAGAAAATAAATATAAAAATAAAAACATGTTATAAAAAATTCCTACCGTGATTTAAAAAAAGTTAATACTAGAGATTTTCTTTCTTCCTAGCTTTCTATTTTGCCTGCGCACTTGCAAAAGCAGAGAGACCGCTCGCTTAGTAATTGAGCGGCCAATTTAGGGTGAAATGCGCCACAATTGAGCCGTATGTCGAGCAGCAAATCTTCACTATCACAATGAACAAGTCGAGAAGCAGCAGACTGAACACTTGAGTCGTGCCAAAAGCAGAGCAGCGCAAAAATTCCTTGGTGTAAAATCGTGTCTAGCTCTTGGGTTGAAATAATTATTGCTCGCGGAGAGGCCGAGCGGTCTCTGCGCTTCAAATTGGCTGCCGCTCGCAAAACCTCTCGGTTGGTCACAAGAAGAGCAAAAGAAAAAAGAAGCAGAGGGAAGAAGAACACGCCAAGTGTTTGGTCGCCAATTTAGCGGCCGATTAATTCACGTTTGTCTCTCGCTGCGTTGTTTGTCGCAGGCGAATTTTTGCTCCAATCCCACGCCGGTGCCACTCATCACTTTTGCAAAAATGACAGAATAGTGTCACCAAGTGTGTCCTATCAAAATTTCTAATTCAAATTTAAAACTACTATAATTATTTATTATACAAATACATAATATACTAACAATAAGACAATTTAAAATATATATTTTTAATATAGTTTTTTCTTTACAAACGTTTAAATATTTTACTATAATTTAATTTTATTTAATAATATATTTATTAAAAATATTTTATTACCCTAATGTATATATTACAAAATAAATAAATATTTTTATGGTTTCAATTGATTTTTATAAATAAAATTATAATTTTGCATTAACTTATATAATATATAAATATGTATCAATAAAAGATGGGTAATTTAATAAATATATATTTATATACTGCCCATGTTGGAATTCGCAATGCATAACCATAAATACATTATATTTTTATTAAATTGATCAAAACAACCTTTTATAAACACCCAACTTTCTTCATGGAGTATATAACTTTGAGAATTGAAAGATTAACTGAAAATTCAAGTATACAAGTGTTGAGTTTATATAATATCCAACGTGTATAGTTGAAAAATTTGTTGCTCTCGTGTCACGGTGAGAAACGCCATGAATTAAAAAGATTACAAAAAGTGCGTTGGAAGCGCCGCCATAAATACGTTTGTGAGCAGGCAGGCGTGCTCACTTCCTGTCTGCCCATGCATTGGCCGACTTCCCCACATAAAGGAAGTTGTGAACTTCTATTCGTAACCCACTTTTTGCTCACAATTTACAAGAAATTACAATAATAATTTAATAGTAAGTTATGCAGATCTAAATTTTGCAACTTTTAGATTTTGATTTAAAATTTTTAGTTATAAATCTATGATGTCACCGGGGATGCACCCCAAATTAATAAGCAGGTCAAACTTGAAATTGAGACTACGCACCCTTTATTTTTTTTTAAGAAAAATTATTGTTGTCATTGACTAAAAAATAAATCAACATCGCAAATCTTCATTGAAAAACTTTGTTTTTTTATACACGAATTTTTTTTCTTTTTATTGATCAACCTTTGAATGACACGGGATGAAGTTGACGGGGTCCGCGAGAGGAAAGACGTGTCTCTGGTGTGTCGCGAGACGATTAAGGGACGGACGGGCGCAGGTGCGGCTCGGCGTTAATCATCTAGTAAAGTGTTTACCCGCGAATCAAAGCAGAGTGTTTACTTTTGCACTCTGTCGGCGCGCACTTTTTGGCAAATACCGCCGAAAAAAGCTTCTGCGGCTTTTTATTGCCCTGGGAATGTCCTTTGAACTCGCGCGCCTATTAATTAATAGGCCTTTGAACAGCCTGGCCCTCCTCGTAAATAAATCTCCCGACTCCTCGATTTTACTTTCCTCCTCCTTTAATCCCAGAAATTTGTAAACACTGCGATGATTTAGAATCAGATGCAGCTTTCTGCACAATATTTTTATATATACGCAATGCTTTAAATTTACATCCTTAACGGCGAAAATTATGATTATTATGACGAGATCTAATTCCGGGTGTGCTTGTGTTGCAGAAAAGCGGAGACTGAGTTTGTGCGTGGGGTGCGGCGCCCAAATCCACGACCAGTACATCCTGAGAGTGGCGCCGGACCTCGAGTGGCACGCCGCGTGTCTCAAGTGCGCCGAGTGCCACCAATTCCTCGACGAGAACTGTACCTGCTTTGTCAGAGATGGCAAAACCTATTGCAAGAGAGATTATGTGAGGTGAGTGTCAAAATTTATTTTAAAAAAATTGTCACAAAAACAATGAAAATTTTGATTGGAAATTCCTTTAAAAACGTTACATAATATCAATTTCTTTAAAGAACAATAAAAAATCAAAAGATTTAACTTGTATATCAATTTTGAATGCTAAGTAAAAATTCAATTTTGAATTATGCAAATTTTCATTCCATTATTGATGAATTTTACCAGTCTGTAGACGAACAAAAGTTGTTGAAAAAAATTTCCTTATAATTGATCCCTTTTATTGAAATATTGCTTTTGTATAGAACTGTTAAGACAGGAGGAAATTTGAAGCTAGACCAAATTCACAACAAGAAAAAGTGAGTTCAAACCCAAAAGAGGAATTAGCATGAATATCATGCTAGCTTAATTGTAAGAAATTGGATCACTCTCGTTTTTTAATATTTAAAAATTTTGCTTTTCCCATCTCATGAAAAGGCATAAAAGCTGCTTTTCGTTCCGAAATGAAATGTATATTTTTTTTTAAATGTTCGTTATCGTTGCCAAAATCAGCAAGTGACAGGAAGTGTTCCTCGGTTGCCCCACCGCCGTCAACCAGTTAGCAATAGTAATTAAAAAACGTGAATTTTTCATATCTGCAACCTGACACCTCACAATGAATTCTTTTAATTAAAAAATATTCTCTTCGATTGCAAATTGGATTGAAAAATTTGAATATAAATTATTTTCACTGCCATTAAGAATAAATTATTGTACCACAGCGGATGTATTAAAAATAATATTCTCAACTCGAAAAACTGAGAACAGAGAGATGGCCTGATAGACATATTATATTGCAGTTGCCATGGCTCGGTTGTTTCGTCACATGTGTTCGGATATCTATATTTTGTTTTCATTTTTTGGCCACATGCTGCGGCCTGGCGTTTATAAAAAGTGCGATTTTGATTGACTCCGCACCGTGCGCGTAAAAATAATAAAACAGAAGAGAGAGAGAAGGAAAGGGGGTCTTTGGAGGCGGCATCGGGGCGGCTGCAAACAGAGATGACCGCGCCAAAGCAAACAAACAGCAGCTCCGAGAGAGAGCAAACACGCTGCTCCCTCGGTTATATTTTCTTTGCTCATCTACCGCCTCCGACTGCGGTGCCGCGTTTCGTCCTCTGGAATTATTATAATATCCGTCCCGTGATGCAATAGCAAATAATAACTTAATAATGTGAGCGCCGCACTGCGGTCAATAACTGTGGGATGACCAACAACAGAAAACTAATAATCAAGTCGCAACCTTCCATTTTCCAAATTATTATGATTGAAATAAAATTTTAGAAGAGAAAAGCATATTCAATTCTTACAAAAAAGCAAATTCAAAAATCTATTAACCGAAAAATTATCTTTAATTTTTGTTCCCCTGTTCACATTACAAAGTATGCAACCTGCATTTCAGGAGGGCCTCATTGGTTGCATAATTTCTATATCAGGTCCTCTTATCTTGAGGTTTATTTTTCAGAGGAACTTTCAAAAGTTTTATTCATCATTTATATCCCCGAGCATCATAAATTTCTGTAGAAACTAAAATAAATCTTTGAACAAAATTAAGTAAAATATCATATTTTGTGATATTTTGAAACAACTGCAAAACGTTTTTTTACATAGGTAAACTAAATATTTTTGTTGTGAATTTTTCTTGTGCTTTTTTGTAGCCTTTGTTCTGTTATTGGCACAAATGTCGATTCCCATGCGAAAAAGAAATCCGGCTGGTCTATTTTTTCGCAAAATTTGAGTCTGCAGCATATCGGTTGGTTCTCTGTTGGAGAGAAATAAATACCCCTGCGAGTTTGAGTCAGCTGCTGCGAGGGTGGTCCCTCGGACGGGTGGGTGGCGAGGGCAAACAGAGAAACTCGATCACGGCTGTACCTTGACAGCTCCAGAGCGAGTCGGAGAGACGCGACCCAGCTTTATTTCAAGCCGGCACAACTTTTGCACCCCTTCCTCGGCCCACACGATCTGTCTGTCTGATCAACCTTGAAGGGAAAGCAACTTCCTATCCTTCCTTTTGACAAGATCCAAACTCTGAAAAAAGTTTAACGTGAAATAATTTATTAAACCGAAAAAAATTTATGACTGAAAGAAATTGTTATAAAAAATTTTCCTTTACGTCTTCCGTTTTTGGAGATGTTTTGACAAATAAAATTTTGGTCCATTTGTTCCTCACGCTGGTTAGTTGTTTCTTTCCACTTCAAAGGGACACGCACACGCATTTTGCCCTATTGGTCCGACAGAATTGATGGCTCTCGGTTGCACGCACGAGAACAAACATCAAAGTAATCTCGGCTACTTTTTCATCCGGAGAGCTGCTTGATCAGATTCTCTCTCTTTTTCCTTACACCAGAGAACCGCACACACACACACACGCAGCGTAATGAAATTTTCAGCTGAGAGAGAGAAAGAGACGCCCCGAGAGTTTCATTGTGGCGGCGCCCCCAGGGCTTGGGTATAATTCGATCAAAACTTTCGCCAACTAAATCTCGTGGAATATAATTCGGGCGAAAAGATTGCCAAGTTTGCCAACCGCGATCGGTTTTGCTCACACCGCAGAATATAATAGATGCTTTTGAATCACGTTAAAAAATTGGTGAAGAGTTTAATATTTTGGTACATATTTTTAGTATTCTGTGGAATAAAATTTTTGATAAGCGGAATCTGCAAGTCTTGTCATTTATGACTTTTTTTAAATAATTTTTTTTAAAGATGAAAATATTTTAATTCAAAACACTGTGTTACACTAAAATTTTCTTGGTTATGGACTTTGCAATCTTCAAACAGTTTTCTTTGAATTAAAGTTCAGCGTAATTTTCTCTTCGCCGTTACTAATATTTTTAATTGGCACGCATTTTCCTTCCTTGGAAACAAATTGAGACTAATAATTCCAAATCACCAACTTTTCGTGCGAACAGCAATTATAAATTTAATGGAATCCACGCACAACGAGGCCATAAAAAGTATAATATATAAATTTTCATCTGCCGGGCACGCACTGCTGAATTTTTTCTGGCAATTATTTGTTTTCGCGGAAAGTCTTGGGGAGAAAGGAATTTCCAAGCTTACAGGGGGAGACAATGGTGCGTGCCGCGTCGCACTTTGGCCAAAATCCCTCTCGTTTCCCTCTTGCTAATGGAAGTGTGCAATAATAAAAAGGGGACTGTGGTCGGTTTTCAGATTGTTCGGGACCAAGTGCGATAAGTGTGGACAGAGTTTCAGCAAGAACGACTTCGTGATGCGCGCCAAGACCAAGATCTACCACATCGATTGCTTCCGGTGCACGGCGTGCGAACGGCAGCTCATCCCCGGGGACGAGTTCGCGCTGCGCGACGACGGCCTCTTCTGCAAGGAGGACCACGAGGTGCTCGAGAAGGCGTGCATCCTCGGATCCGCCGAGAGCAACAACAACAATACCTCCAGTGTCAACAACAACAACAGCAGGGCGCCCAGCAACCATGAAGGCTCCAACTCGGGTAATTACTTGCCATTTTTTTTATTCAATTTTTATAAGCTTTTAAGAAAGAGAGAGGGAAAATTGTTTGCTGGAAAATTGCGAGTCATAAAGTAATTGTGAGAACGAGTGATTTTGAAATGATAATTGTACAAGTTGTTTTTACTGCGGAAGTATAGTTGAAGGTTAAACTGTTCAAAAGTTGCTCTCAAGACATTATAAATACTTGAAGCTTCCAATAATTTTACTATCGTTATTTCTGCCCAAATGCCATAAATTCAAATATTACAACAACAAAAATTGGCTTGATTAATAAGGAAATTTAACAAAGTTCTAACCAGTTAGAAAACTGCCCAAATGATCGTTTTAACGGTTAAGAACGCGTAGAAAATTTTTGGAAAAGACAAAATAAATTGCCAAAATTTTCAAGAATTGTGCTGTTATTTTGTTAATTCTCTTGTTCTACTATAAAAAACTACTCTATTTCTGTTTTCCCCACTATCACATTTTATTTATAAATTGTAAGAAGATTTGTGAAATTCGTGACTTTTTTTACAATAATTAAAAAATGTTTTACAGTTAAAAGACTCAACTTTTGGAAGATAAATATTATTGGACAAAACTGCATCACTGATTATTACATAGATTCTTCCAAACTAAATGAGACTAGCGATATTTATTCAAATTTTTATAGAATTCCCTAAGTATGATATAATAGAATAATCAAATCCAAGTTGTGGATGTCACATCACCAATGTTAACAATAACTAGAACCAACATAATAAATTGTGGTCAGAGAAATTTAATTATTTTGTTCTCTAATTAATAATATTAATCAAAGAAGCAAAAAATTACCTCAATTTAAATATTATTTTAAATTTATAATTTTTTTATAAAACTATCAAAAACAATTAAATCAAAATAAAATTAAAAAAAAAATTATTAAAATAAAATAATAATTACACATTTAAAACATAAAAACTTATTGTAACTATAATCAATAACTTACTTAAGTTTTTTCTTTTTATTAAAAGCCGCTTTTCTCTGATAAATATATCTGAACTCTTTTTGAGGGGAAAAGCAGCGAAAATGAATGAATAGCGCGGCCGACGCATGACCCAATATTTGCTCAAGCACTCTAAACACATACTAATGTCCCGCCGCCGCCGCCGCGATATCAAATACACAGACTCACATATTGTGTATACTTTTTCTACTCTTGTGCTTATCTGGCGGTGCCAAAATATTGATCTTCGAATATTATTGAGAAGAAGAATCGTAAATTCTTTTCTAATGTAAAAATTAAGAACCGTGATTAATTGTGTCGCGAACAGAGTGACGCGCTTGTCACAGCGAGAGACGCTCTCTCGAAATATAATTATTTTCTTAATCGTCGTGTTCTCTCTCACTGATTATTGATAAAAGCTGGGTGAGAGCCCTTGCGGCTCCTTTTCATATTCGGATATCGTTTGATAAGATGCCGCTCGTCTCCGTTTGAAGTTCGCCGCCGCCGTGATTTTCCGATAGTGTTTGCTTAGACCGCAGTAATTAAGCAAGTAATTTCATTATAATAATTCCATTCAAATTAGCGGACCAAAAGAGAGACAGTGGAAATTAGTGGGGTCGGATCGCAAAAAGGGGTCAAGCTCCCAATTTTATTATCAAGTTCTCCAAAGGTCACTGTCGCCTCTGCCTCCTTATTATGTTTGCCGACGGCGACAATTGATTGCATTTTTTTTTTTTACCAAATATCGATTTCACAGCTTATTCATAATTGATATTAGTAAATTTTTATCATTAGTAGACAAATGATGGCCGAATTATAGAAATTTTTTAATAAAATTTATTTATTATTTAAAAAAAATTATACAAAAGGAAGAATTGTTTAATTTAAAACTATAATTTTTAATATTTTGAAATTGTCACTGAAACCCTGTCATAAAGCAGTCTCTCACTGTCTGCTTCTCTTTCCTCGTTGCACACTCGCGCTCAACAATAATATTTACGCATCAGTCTGATAACAAAAGAAGCAACTCCCTTTGTACAAACTAGCGTGTGGAAAAGTATAAGCCGGGGCACTACATCGACTTGATTAAAGGGAAGCCGCTCTCGCTCGCTGGCTCGTTGCATCTGCCTAAAGACGAAGTACACACCCTTACTGGGGTGTATCGCATGTCGGTCGGCAACCCGCGCCGCCGCTTTTCACCCTCCCTTACACCTATAAAGCTGGCGAATTCTTTCACCCCGCCGGCTGCTTACGCAAGACACGATAAAATCGCGGCCTTTTGTGTCCGCGCCGATTCTGATAGGCTGTTGCGTGAGAAAAGGTGGAAATTTCACCACTTCTCCTTCCTTCCATCCGCGCGGTTTCAAATTTCAATAAAGAGAATGGTGTGAGTTTTTTTAAGTGAAGCAGCTGGGAATAAAATTCAAATATTAAATAAAATGATGTTTATAAAATCTTAATATTAAATAGTAAATTATTTGTGTAATTTATGAAAATATTAACACACATTTTTTTTTTAAACTTTTGCCATTAAATTTAGAATAAGAAATTAAATAGGATGATAAAGCAAATATTGATTTAATTGAATTTTTCATCTTCTTAACTTCAAATTATTATTAAATTTTCACTTTATTTTAGCCACGCTTATATCAAAACTGTGGATCAGCTGCGAGTTTTGTATTTAACTTTGAGGGAGGACTGGACATAATCAAATCGATTCCCTGCTACCGATCTAGATCCGCTTTAATAGCGTGCAATGCTGTACAATCACGCTCCATTAAATCCGATCGTTCATTATCTTTATTTTACTCGTGCAAGCGACCGGACGCCGACGCTGCTGCACTTTCAAAACGCTTTTCGATGCACTCTTTTCATTTTATTCACGCATCAGCAAACGAACTTTTCAAATCTGAGAGAATTATTGGCGCAGTTCATCGGTCTGCGCCCCCTTTTCGCACGGTTTAATAATGAGCAGAATATTCACACCCTGGTGCACTTTAGAGCATCATTGTTTCGTCCCCTTTGTATGATCGAAATTTATGTTGAAAAGCAATATTGATGGTTATTTATCATTTTCATTGCACCTGTAGCATCTGGACCACACCAAATAACATAAATTTCCATCTTCTTGAAACTTAAATTTTCTTATTGTTTTACCTCAATTAATTCTATATAGATGTCCCTTCACTGCAGAGTTTTTTAAATTTAATATAGCTGAATTAAATAAGTATTGCATAATATACATGAAGATTTTATAAGTATTTGTATTTAATATTTATAGTATTAAAACTTGTAATGGACCCCTAAAAAATTATGTATCTACATTCTAGAATTTCAAGGGTCGGTTTAGTTTCAAATGAATGTTTTATTGGGTTCCACAGAGGGCAATTTATTTACTTTCCAAACATTTGCAGTAATTTATCTGCAGACATTTTTCAAATCTTTGCTTAAGATTTAGCTCTGAAGCCAAATTTGTAAAAAAAAATCTTATAATGTGTTAATTTAAGATGTGAAATTCTCGCAATGCTAAAGTTTTTTACATTTTGAATTCTGAATGACTTTGATTTGAAACTATTCGGAAAATATCCATGCTATTTTTTTTCTTTTAAATTAAAATAGAAATTTCAAAATGAAAATACATGGGCTGTGGGTCGTGTTTGTGCGAAAAATAATTATGTATGCTTTCTTGCAATACGTTTTAGTTTAGGATGCATGAAAGCATTATGCTATTATATAATAGAACATTAAGAGACGTTGATAAATAGAGAGAATTTAAACAAAACAGAATTTAAAAAGTTTTGCATTTTTCATTAAAAATAGAAATAATAATAATTATTATTGTTGTTTAATTTAATTTTAGTTATATTGTGTAGGATTATGTGAATCATTAAGTCCTCAATGACAAGTCTTAAAAAAAGTTTGTTTAATTTTGCAAAATTTGGCACGAATTGAATTTTAATCCTTAAATTGAATTCATACTTTGGCCACTTCTGGAATCAGCTGCCAATAATTGCAGCTGCGTCTGCCATCCCATTTTGCTGAAAACCGAGCTCATTCTTGTTCTCTTTCGCTCATTTTGCGAGACGCCGCTTATTAATGCATGAGAAAGGGTTACGCTCTCGGCCGGTCGGCGGGCGGGCTGCTTGCGTGCTGTTGTACCGCGGCCATTTTGCCTGCATGCTATCAAGTGATGACCGTTGTGTGTTTGTTGGATCAGGGAGGTCACTCGGCTTCAAAGGATTAGCTACATGAAAGTCGGGCCTAATCCCCCGGCATAAACTACGATTAGCCCCAACGACACGCCGGCAATAAACATAATGCGTTCGGCACAGACGTTTTTCAGCAATTTGCCAAAGTGTCCACCCGATTATGAACTAGCTGGTTTAGTGTTTTGATGAGAAGAGTACACTTGCTCTTTGAACCCGTAATTTGCCTTTTGATATTTTTACGGTCCAAGCAGAGCGAGACTATCGAGCCGCGTGCCAATTCACGCGCATAGAGTTTTTTGGACGCGTGTTTTTATTGGATAAACGCCACTTTCCTTAATTGGAGGTTTTCAGTAAGTTCAAAAATACATTTATTTGGATCTGCATGGAAGGGAATTTAGTCAGAACTTTAAATTTAATTTATTCAACAGGTTTGAGCCATTTTTGGAAAACGGTCATGTAAATTTGTTCCTCTATTATGGCGTTTTATTATATAAATTACTATTAATTGTTTTACACAAGTTTAAACAATAAATTTAACTGGATAATTCTCTCTCTACATTAAGTATTAAGTTTACATTAAATTGATTAAATCTACCTTTTAATACTTTTCTATTGAATATCATACCATAATTTATGTAAAAAAAAATTATATTTTAATTTTTTAATCATATTTTTTTTCACTGTTGTTAATTTTTCCAATTGATGCATCACATTGTTTACAATAATTTTTGTAAACATTTTGTTAGAGAAAATTGTACCAAAATCAACCTTACCATTATCAACTCTGTATGTCTCCCAAAACGTCCTTTGGCCAATGTGATTTTTAGTCATTAAACCGCTATATTTTCCACCCATAAATTCCTCTCCGCGGCTCCCTTTACGCGATTCCTAAAAAACTTTATGAAACATAAAACACGTACTTTCGCTCTAAAAACACACACATTCTGGTAAGCCGCAAACAAAGTTGCAAATTGTTGGCACCACTTTTCTCTGCACAGTCCTTTATCTCCCTCATTTTATAAAGAGAGCCAATTTCAAAGCAATAAAACGGAATTTTCCAATAGCTGCGGCGGCGCGAGGACCATTACATCGGGCCGCGCGGTATTTCTGTAGAAATAATTTATGGGCAACGAGAGGGGAATTTTTTTCTCTCCTTTGAATCGTCGACCGCAGCCATCTCGATGGCGCCGCCGCCGCGAGATAAAATACGCCGCCTGGCGACGACGTCGTTTTATGTGTGCAGGCCTTCCTTTCGTCCCTCTCTCGCTCGCGCGTTAATTGATTTTTTGCCAAATTTATTCGTCGGCTTTTTGCCTCGGAAATTTTCAATCTTGGGAGAATCGAGAGCGAAAACGTTGCGACATTCCGCGAATTTTCCGCGCGCCGCTTTTATTTTATTGATCGGTGGTCGTGCTCAGCACAGGAGCTGGGCGAAATAAATTTTATTGTGCCGCGCTTCTTGTGACTTTTTATAGGCGAGGGGCGATAATTAAGATCAAAGGAGGTCAAGCCGCTTTTTCGCAGTGACGCGCAAAATTCATTCCAATCAGTCCGATTCAAGCTCATGCCAAGCAAGTTGTAACTTCTCATTTTATTGCTAAATTTCCTGAATTAAAATTTGACGTTTTAAAAATAAGAAAAATCAATCCTACTCTGATGACACGACTAGTTATTTTCTAAATGAGATATCAAATTAGGGTAACTTTTGTATATATCACAAAATTTAAACAAAATTCTGCTTCTAAAATTAAATTATATAATTTTATTAAAAATAAAAGAAATTACAAAAAGAAAATAAAATATTTAAATAATAATAATATAAAAAATATTTTTTAAACATAAATTTTGTTGTAAATTTTATTATTATCAAAATATTACTAAACTTATTTTTTAATTTAAATATCAATTTAACATTAGCTTTTAAAATATATGATTATTGTCTTCAATTTGGCATCTTTCATGTTGCAGATTCGTCTGATTCAGGTTCGACGAAAGGAAGAGAAGGAGGCAGCGGGGGTGGCGAGGGCCGCGGGCACGGGGGTGGCGGGGGCCGTGCCAAGGGCTCGTCGGATGGCAAGCCGACGCGGGTGCGCACCGTCCTGAACGAGAAGCAGCTGCACACGTTGCGCACGTGTTACGCCGCCAACCCGCGACCTGACGCCCTGATGAAGGAACAGCTGGTCGAGATGACGAGCCTCAGCCCGCGGGTCATCAGGGTCTGGTTCCAGAACAAGCGCTGCAAGGACAAGAAAAAGTCCATCCTCATGAAGCAGCAGATGCAGCAAGAAAAGGTAGGCGTAATGTAACATTTGAATATTTTATTTTTCAGGAAAAAAAATCTCAAAAATTAGTGAATTATTTGTGGTTAAATTGGAAAAAAATGTAATTTTGTCAAATTTGAATTATTTAATTTTCTAAATAAAATTTATTTCCTTTGGATCGATTTTGAAATTTTTCCTTTGTAGGGTGGAGATTTTTTGAAATTAGGGTGCATTTCATGTCAGTTAAGAGAAATCGGGGCGGCTGAGCAAACACACGCACGTAGCTTTTCCCAGTTGGCTCGAAAGCGCAGCCAGTTCTGGTCGGTGTTTTTCCAGCACGCGCCGGCGCCCCCGCGCCAACTCACCCTCTCTCTCTCTCTCTCTCTCGCTCGGTTTTTTCCACTCGCTCCCCCAGCAGCAGGGATAGGGTCATTTGGTGCAGATTATGGGACGAAAAAGGCATTTGCCAGACCGAGGCGCCACTCCGTGCCAAACGGCGCAGCACAATGGACGGCGCCCATCGCGGGCCATCGCCATCTTGACTTTTCCGCCGCCGTGAAAGAAAAAGCCCAGCCAAATTTATGGCTCGCACGGCCAGTGCCATTTTTCAGCATTTTTTTCTGGCACCACACAACATTTCGTATAATGACCGCAAAACCACCAAAATCATTTCTCAATTATCATTTGTTTTTTGAGAAAAGGCCTTTCTGAAAAGCTAAATGAATTCAACCAAAGTGATGTTTCTGATTATATGTAGTAAAAACTTTTGATTTGTTTTGTTTTGAAATTTCAAAACTGAAATTTAAACAAAGAGGCATGGCTTATCCTTAATGATTTTTAAGTATTCTATTCAGAAAAATAATTTTCAATTATTAGAAAAAATTTTGCTTAACAGCTTAATTTTAATTTTTATATTTTAACATTTTTCATTTAATTTTGCCATTTATGTTTGACTTTTTCTTTTTGATATATTATGGAAAATTAAAAGTTATGCAACAAGCAGAGCATTGCCACCGAGCGGATTGCCTACCCGTCATTGTCCAGGGCGCGAGCAACCCCTGGAATCGAACGTATTTAACAATCACGTTCCCGAGTCGCTGCCGCGACAATCGATATTTTTAATTACTCTAATGCAGCCGCGCCTCAGCGGTGTGTGTGAGTTTGCGTTGTTATTATTTATTTTTTTATTGTGTGTCAGTGCGAGGGTGAGTCTCGTATTATGCAGAGGGTTGAGCCTCGCGCGTGAGTCACGCGAGCGCGTCAAAAAAGATAAAATTCGGCGGCGGGCACATATAATGATGATTGAGAATCGCAACACGCGCGCTTGACTTTTTAAGTTGAGATTAATGTGGGGGTGTCATGTTTTGCCTGCCGCCGGCGACTCGCTAACTAACTGCACCAAACGGCGGGGATGCGCCGTTGAAGAAAGAGAAAGGCAAATTGGAAAATTGCTCCTCGCGTTGATGAAGGAGGGCTCAAAAGAAAGGCTTGCAGCGCGTGCAGATTGAAGCGAACGTTCGACGTTCGCTCCAAATTAATTAAATTGACTTCCACGAAAGGGAACAAAAGAGCAGCAAATTGGAAGCAAAAGGCAATAGTATATGAAAGAAATTTTCTTTGCATTGAAGAATCTTATTAAACTTGGTAATTTCTCGATCAAAATCTTTAAAAACTATCAAATTGAATAACAAATTAAGAAGAAATTTTATGAGGGTTTACTGAAATTTTGCTTAAAACTTCCCATTCTTGCACATGAAAGAAAAATTTAAGGTAAATTCAGAAAATGAGGCTGCCATGAAAATTAATTGATTAATTTTATTAAAATATTTTTGCAATATTTTACAGAAAGGTTACATATTTTTATTTTACTTTTTAAATTTTGGCCCTTGTCCGTATGATTCCTACTTTGATTAAATGAGTGCTGCGTGAATTTGAATCAAGCCCACTTCTCCGCACGTCAGCCTTCTGGGCAGATTGAATGAATTATTAAATATCCGCCGGTGGAAATTTCACTTTGAAGCCGCTTTCGCTGTCGGGATTTGTTTGAATTCTCGTCGACAAAAGCAAACACTTTGATGTTTTGTCAGACCGAAACCACCGACCGGCGGCTCCTCTTGCCGCAGCGTGCGATTATTTATTTTCCAAGATGCGCTCTCGCTCGCCCCTTTTCTAAATAATAATTCAAATCCCATAAGGCGCAGTGTGCGGTGAATTTTACAGCAGCCACCACGTGAGAGTGAGCTACGGGCTCCCGGGGGACTCGGCGAGCCCCCAAATAATGAGGGGGTGAACCGCACACACACGCACAACTACATGATCAACTTGCTGTGTTGCACCGCGTGCTTTCTTTTATTATCATTACCATTATTTACGGAGCGGCTGCTGCAGTCAATGATTATTATTATGACATAAAAGCTCAGCGCATCTGCTTCGATTTTTCCATGGATGACTCTTGCGCGTGAAAACATTTTTAATAGTTCAAAAATATCTCCCTACTTAAATCATTTTGATAAAACAGGTGTTTGATTGTGTCCAAGTCCAAGTCATAATAATTAACTAATAATAAATATTAATATATTCTAATTATTTATTTTTTATTATTTACTAAAATAGTGTGACTCTTATTGTTAGGTCAGAAATAACATCTTCCTTCCATGGTCCTTATGATTTGTTTAAAAAGCCTGATCTCTTCAAATTATTATTTTCTTTGCAATGCTTTACACTAGAAATTGAGCCAATTTTTTCGAAGTATAATATTAATATTTATTTTGACACAATTACAATTTTTCTGTTTACGGTTGGAGATTTTGAAACAGTTTTACAATTTTTGGAAAGTAGTTTGCATTGGGCATAATTTCTGCTCAAACGATGCGTTTCCTTTTAAGACTTTAAATTTCTTACACTTTCAGGATGGCCGAAAGTTGGGGTACGGCGGCATGCAAGGAATTCCAATGGTGGCCTCGAGTCCAGTGCGGCACGAGAGTCCGCTCGGCATGAACCCGATCGAGGTGCAGTCATATCAACCGCCGTGGAAAGCCCTGTCCGACTTTGCCCTGCACACCGACCTCGACAGGCTCGACCCGACGGCGCCGCCCTTCCAACAGCTCGTCAACCAGGTCAGTTCACTTAACCTTTTTATACGTTTTCATATTTTCAATCCTATTTGATCTCAATCAAGCCTTGGAGAAATATTCAAATGATAAAATTAAAAAAAGATATTATTAAAACCATATAAACTATTTTAAGAACTGGTTATTTTTATTGCACACCCAAAATTAGAAACTTTCAAATCTGACTTTTTCCATTTTGAATCTGTCTGGCTTTCAAACATAACATGATTTTTTTTTTAAACACCTGTCACTGTTGATTTGTTGTTTATTTTGCCGCGCGAAAAGTAAACCAAACAGCAACGTCAGAGTAAAAATTATTATTTTTCGGGGCCGGCCGCCCGAGTGCAATGTTGATGTTTCATTTTGCGGTTGACCAAACTGTTTACCGGGGGCCATCACCGGTGATTGCCACGAAAATACACAGGCGATCAATCAGGACGCGCTCATTAGCGGCTCACTCAGCACGCCTAGTGCATAAGAAAACACATAAAAGCGAATGTACACACACAACGAGGGCCCAAATGCAGATGCTCGTCCTATAAACACATCCACCCACGCAGTCAAACGACCGCTCTCCATCCACATGCTGAGGGATGAGACAGATGCGCTCCAAAGAGCTGCTGCTTGATGGCCCAGGGAAAACCACAACTGCGGCCAAAAACGAAAAGAAAAATTATTTATTTACTCAAGAAGTTTGCTAAATAATTTTTACTTCTTGAGAGTCAATTTAATTGATTTTTAAATTTTTAGAACAAATAATTAAATAATATTTAATGTGTTTTTAAAAATAAGCTAAATGAGAAATATATAATTTTATTAAATACATTTATTTAAACAACTTAACTTATAAATAAATTTAATATCGAAAAGCTATTGTCAAATTTGTACTTTTTTACCTTTTTTTTCTTACTGCGCTTTAGTATCTTTTTAAACTTTTTATTTCTTCCGATATTTTCATTAACTTGTTGCTAGAAAATTCTGGTTTGGCCCGGTTGTTGGCGGATTCCCCCCATTTTTCGGCGCCCGTCCGTCACTTGGAACGCGGTTTGACGCGGGGCTCAGCAGCGAACGTAAACAATTCGTTTTTTTATATGGAACGAGAGCGGGCGCGCGACCATTTAAATCATTTCAACGCTTGTGTAGTACACGGTGTCAGAAAATTATACGAGAGCACGGCAACCCTTTTAACTTTTAACGCGGGCTGACGCTTTTTCAACGTCGTGTGTGGATATTGGCTGCTGCTGCGCCACCGTGCTGTTTTATTTAAGTGCCGAGTGGAATCTTTTTGCTGTCACGAGACTCAACGCAAGTCGCCGGGCTGCTGCATGTGTTTGCTAGAATTTGCCCTTTGCTGCCCGTCTCTGTAAATCAAAGCGCTCCATCCTTAATTCTTTTTTATTCTCAAACCAAGTTTCAAATTTCGGCAAATTCTTCACGGTCTGTTCTTTAATTTGTTTTAAAAATACACCGCTCAAAGCCACTGATAAATATGTTCAATTCTGCTCACAATCAGTGCGATTCATAAATTAATAATTTGTTAGAATTTAAATTTATCCGTTCATGAATACAACTACTTGAGTGTTTTGAATTTAAAGTAGCCAAAGTTTGGTACAATTTGATCTACACAACTCTATCAAGAGAAATTGCTTAAACTTGTTTCACGTGATCTATTCAAACCCTGGCAATTTTGCCCCGTCTCCTGAGACTAAACTTTGCTTTATTGAGAGAAACGGAGACACCTCAGTTAGATTTTGTAACTTGATAAAATTTAAAAGCCTCAGTGCTCAAACATTAAAACTGTTTCATTTGGTCCAAATAAATTATTTGGATTTATAACAAACCATTCTTTAAGTAAATGAGGAAGTACATTTAAAATCAATTTATTTGTATTTAAAAAAAAATAGTCTTTAAACTAAATTTGGGAACTGGTTAAATTTTTTATAAAAAAAAAACCTTCTTAATTATTTTTAATGTTATGTTCCTGTTAATAAAATATTTAAATTTATTTTTATTTTTATATCTCAAGAGGTTCACTTAAATTTAAATTAACTCCTTAATTAAAGTGATTTAAATGTTAATTAAAACAGGATTGTGTAATTATTTCTCAAGACGACGCGAAACCTGATTGGAGAAAATGCCGTGGTTTATTGCCGGAGATTTCAAACAAAAATATCATTGCCTGCTCTCACTATATGCGCGAGACACCTAAATAAAACCTGTCCCAATACATACGCAAAGGTCTCGCGGCTAAATAACTCCCCTATTTTATTTATGCATACGCAAGAGTGTATAATCAGGCGGCAGCAGTCGCGCGGGACGTGACACTTTTACCTGAGTGAGCGGTCCACATCAAACGCCTCTCGCTATTTTTCATCTCTCTGCGCGATGCTGGTGCTGCTGGAAAAGAAGAAATAACCAAGTTGTTTTTTATGCCTTTTCTCTCGCCGCCGCGCCGAAAGGACCGAGAAGAAAATAAAGAATATTATCCATCGGAGACGGACACACACTTTTATGCGCGCGGCCGTTTTATTGTGATATTTCATCGTAAATTATTGAGAGAGAAATGCCGGTTGGGTTTGGCGGCGCGGTATTATTGGCATGCCATGCCGCACGAGTGTCCTCTCACCACCCACTGAGGCTGAGGACGCCAGACGCGTGGCCCGCAGCAAATATATTTGCATCTAGAAACAGTCAAATCTCGACTTACTGATTTGAAGAGCAGATTAGGAAATTAAAACTTGAAATATGAATTTGTATTTATTTTATTATTTTTTTTTTTCAATTAACAATGCTAATAAATTGGACAAATAATTAAAAATCTATAGAATTTTGAAAGCCTGATACATGTGGACAAAGCTCAGTAGACAGAAATACCCATTTCAAGATAATGTTTTTAAGGTTTATAAATTCAAATAAAATTTTAATTTCTTCTTGGATAGAGTCACAAAATCCTATTGTTTTTAATAAATTTTTTTCTTTCAGTTCTTTCTTCCAGTTCAAATGTTGAATTAATATTTACTAGCATTTGTTGTTGCGCTTGCAGATGCACGGGTACGACTTGCACGGTCCGCCGGCCCCGCCGCCGCCTAGCCATGATATGGGCGCCGGCCCTGCCGACCTGGGCCACCCGGACTCGACGGATTCTTACGTGACGTACCTTGAGAGTGATGAAAGTCTGCACCACGACGCGCCCAGTCCCTGATAACTCACAGTGCCATCGTCCTTGCCAGTCAGCCGAGCCCGCTTCGCACCCAACCCCACCGGGCAGGACCCTCTTATTCTGATCGACCCTGACTTCCCCATCGACTTGCGCTACCACGTTCACAAATGTAAGTGCAATTTTATCTTGAAACTGATAAGGAGAAATGCAATCAAGAATTAATGTGATGTTGAAAGTAATTTTAATGAGTTTAATAATTTTTGAAATCTAATAATTAAATTAATTTGGGTAATACAAATATTGAGAAGATGTTTAAATTTTACTCTAAACTGATTCTTTGCTAAATTTTGCCTTATGTGTGAATTAACCTTGCCATTTCCAAAGTTTTTTTCCTTCTTTTAATTCAGATGTTGCGTAATCAAATCTTTAAAGCTGCGGTTATTCAACTGATTCATTTTTTTTATCTAAATAATAAAGAAAAGTTGACTTATATTCAAACCACCTATAGGAAATTAATTTAATTGTAATATAAGTTATTAATAAGTTTAAATTTATCCTTGTTTGCTGTCTAATTCTCAAATTAATTGTGGTCATTTTGATAAATTTTGTAAATTAAAATTTCTCCCTCGCACTAATCAATCTCTTTTTAATTTTGTTTCCAGAGTACTGGATTTTTTCCTGAAACAAGCAGCTCCTTCTTTCCAACCCTATTCAGATCGGAAACTTTGATTGTCAATCGAGTGAGGCTGAAAAAGTGCAGAAGAAAGGGCGCCCTGCGTTATAACCAACCCTGTCCATCCCTTCCCCTGAAGAAGAAAAACTCGGTGCACATATTTAACAAGAGGGCACTCACCCCACCACCTTCACACACCTAAATACTTTTGCATTAAAATGAACTTTGGCACTTTGCGCGTGTTCTAGTTGACGATGATTGTTCTTCGCAAGTGGACGGTGCATTGAGAATTGTGATTTGTGATAAAACCCTATGCATAATTAATTACTAATAATTATATATTAAATTACTCTCCGTGCAGAAAAATAATCGCGAGCAGACAAGAATTAATTCATTGTTCAAAAAATGATAAGAAAAATTACACGTGTCGGATGTTTAAACCGAGAAAAGCGCTCGCGCATTATTTGAAAACTCTTTTATTGTACAATTCCCGTTTAGGTTTTAAAACCTTGTGTATTAAGCGACCTACAGCTAAGGACCATGCGAGATTTATGCATTGCATTGATGAGAACTAGAAACGTTTTTAGACGACTCACATTGTGGATCGTTGAATTGTGAAGAAAAAAAACACTTACACAACATAAACTCCTTAAATGTCTCAAAATTAAGACAAAAGTGAATGATTTTAATTACTACACGATTGGAATTCATTGTCAATGTAAAAAAACAAAGTGGCACTATCTTTTGTGATGAAAAGTTTTACCGTTAAAAGAGTAACTTTTTAATTCAAAAGTCGGACATGTTATTATTAAAAAATTGAAGCCACTCTGTTAATTAATTTTGAAAAATCGCTATCACAACTTTTCAAATCGTATTCATAGGCGACTAGTGTTTTTCATGATGCAATTTTCCAATGACGGATGAAATTATAACCAACTGGAAATTAATAATACTGTCGTTATTATTTTTAACTGCAAAAACATGATGTAAAATAATATGGAATCACATGTTTGTATAATAATTATTAGTTCTCGTCTGTTAAAAAAGAGTAATCGTGATTATTATTTATTTTTAACTTAAACAAACTTATATTTCTTCAATTGGGGTACCTGCTTTCAAATTTGTGTAATTTCTGAAGCTGTACATTTTTTGTTGTATAAATTTTACACCACTCTCGATGGGCACTTATTTTCTCCAATATGATTTTGGGACGATATTAATTAAATGAGGCGAGAGGAAGATGTTGTGCACATGTTACTGCGAAAATACTAACAAGTAACCGCGCTGCATAATTGTTGTGTCACTTCTTTCATTTGAAAGAAATATGTCTTGGAAGTTTAATAAAAAAAAAATCTGTAGTTGAATACCAAAGAATGAGAGTAAAATAAACCTGGCTTTTTTTAATTAAATTTTACCCAATAATCGCTTTTAATACAAATAATTGGAAAGGAAAAAAGGACACATCGCAATGGGATGCAATGGTATATTAAAACATTCCTAATAAATTAAGAGTGAAAAATTTAATATGTAATATAGGAATCTTCAAAATTATTACAAAATTTGTAAGCTATAATTTTAATTAATATAGCATCCTATCAGTCTATATTATTATGCGTAAAAATTTCAGGTGCTGCCTTCTTCACTTATATTTTCAAACAGGCGCCACTGTTTTAGTGGAACCTTTTCGTTTGTCGCCCTCTTGTGATTCGATCTTGCACGTTATTTTTGCCAAAAATAAACTATTAGGGTGCGCAAAATCCACCATTAAATCGCTGGAAAGATTCATCCGCGAAATTTGAATTTACACGGAAAAAGTACGTAAATTCAAATTTCGCGCGGATTATTCCTCCCTCCCACCTCTCAAGAATGTGCCACGCCTCCTTCGTTAGCCCAGTCGATTATTTTCATCTTCAGAAAAATGAGTCTCGCCTGTAAGTATTTCAAGATTTTCCAATTTATCGCCCGTCTGAAATTTGCAAAACAGCAAAACATAACCACGAGATGGTATTTTCAGTTCAAATCTTCAGGCAAACTAAAGAATTTTGCCAATATTTTGCTCAAATTCTATCATTTTAATCCACCCCTTCAAAATTTGTTTCCATTATGTAACCCCCAAAATTGTAAACATCGCTCAAACTACGCATTTGGCCCTGGCATGTAAAACTCTTTCAAATTTAAGTGAGGCGGTCGGTTCTCGCCCTGAAGTCGCCGGGCTTGGCGCCAGTCCTCAAGGGCTCCTACCTGCCAGCCGTTCAGCAGACTCTCCAGTCCTCCTCGCAGCCTGGTAAATTATATTTCATGCACTTTTGGCATTCTTCTTTAACTTATTCTAAATTTCAGCACCAGTGAAGCCACAGGAGAAACACCCGTACTCCCCATTCCAAAACACCAACAACTGGGCTGAGTATGCACTTGCTCGACTTGACGACCTCCTCAACTGGGGCAGAAAGGTAAAAACCATTATTTCTGAAGTTTTATTATATCAAAAGTATTTGAAAATTATTTTATTTTTATTTTATAATTTCTTTCAGGGCTCTTTGTGGCCTCTCACCTTTGGCCTGGCATGCTGTGCTGTGGAAATGATGCACATCGCTGCCCCCAGATACGACATGGATCGTTTCGGAGTTGTCTTCAGAGCATCTCCTCGCCAGGCTGATGTCATCATTGTGGCCGGAACTTTGACCAATAAAATGGCCCCAGCACTCCGCAAGGTTTACGATCAGGTACAAACTAATCTACAAAAAAAATCGTATTAGCTAGAACTAAATTATTTAATTATATCAGATGTTGAATATAAAAAGGCTTATTTTGAAAGTTTTTTTAAGTGCGTTCACAATAAATGTTGTGTTTTTCAAGGAAAATTAGATAAAGTTATCAATAACTTACAGATGCCTGACCCTCGCTGGGTCATTTCTATGGGCAGCTGTGCCAACGGAGGTGGATATTACCACTACTCCTACTCAGTTGTGAGAGGATGTGACAGAATTATCCCAGTGGATATTTATGTGCCAGGTATGAAAATAATTCAAATGCAGCATACATGTATCGAGTTACTAATTTTTACATCTTAGGCTGCCCTCCAACTGCAGAGGCACTTTTGTACGGAGTCTTGCAGCTTCAGAAGAAGGTGAAGCGTATGAAAACTCTACAAATGTGGTACAGAAAGTAAACTAAAATACTGTTAGATACTATTTGTTGGCTCTTAATGTAAATAAAACAATGAACTCAATTTGAAATTTTAGCTTCCAAATCCTTTGGTAAAATAATGTTTAATTCTTTTACTTTGTGCAAATTTTCGTATTCAAAATATATTTTCATTTTAGTATTTTTCTCACCGAAATTTTAATTTGTCCAATTTGGTTTTTTAATTTTATTATGTATTTAAAAAAAATTTAAAGACTGAATTCGACCTGCTGCATATATATTAAGTCTGTATTCAGTGCCATCTAGGGAGGAAGTCAAGAGCAAAAGGGGCGGACCATCCTGTATGATCCTGTAGCTCTCTCCTGTCACTTTCAGCTGAGAGCTAACAGAACAAACTTTGAACCCTGACAAACCTTCTGCAGACCTCGGAGGACTGCAGATATCAAGTTTGAATCCGATTTTGGGCTATTGTAGAAGGCATGCTGTTTCTGATGTGAGACTTAAAGAGGCTTGATCTCAGCCCCACCGCCGTTAGTGTCCCGTACCCACAAGATGCCCCCGATGAGGGAGGCCTCTGACCAGCAGCAGGCAGCAGCGGTCCCGTGCAGAAATTGCAGAACCACCACCCACGAGCACCAAGCGAGAATTCTGCAGAACCTGAACAAGCTGCGGCAGAACTCTGCATTCTGCGACGTCGAGGTTTCCGCCGGAGATGGAATCACAATCAAGGTGTGGCACTGTTCATTTTAACAATCACAATTTAAAAGTTTAAATCTTCAGGCCCACAGGGTCGTCCTGTCAGCCAGCACGCCTTACTTTGAAGCCATGTTCAGCAGAGGCCTTATCGAAGAACGCCAACCTCATATTGTTCTCCATTCAATCAACGGATACATCTTGAAAATCCTCATCGACTTTATTTACACTGGTTTATTATTATTTTTTAATAGTTTCGAATTGAGTTAAAATGACATATTTTGAATCAAAAGGTGATGTTCGAATTACCAGAGACAACGTTCAGGACGTGATGGCTGCGGCCGACATGATCCAGCTGAAGGACGTAGTCACTGTGTGCACACAGTTCATGAAGTCGGAACTTGATCCCACGAACGCCGTCGGCATTTACAGATTTTCAGAAGTGCACAACTGCAGAGAACTGATTGCAGCATCGACCAAATATGTCCAGGACCACTTCCCGCTCGTCTGTTGCGAGGAAGAATTTCTTGAGCTTCCAAAAGAGCAGCTCTGCTTTTTCCTTTCTAGTGAATTTCTCAAAGTAGACAGCGAATTCCAAGTAAAATCTAATAATCTATTGAGTTTTTCTAAATCTTAAGAGTTGTTCTGAAATAGGTGTTTGAAGCTGCAATGCGGTGGTTTAGCCATGACGTGATACAAAGGCGGCGCTATGTCTTTGAAATCCTGAAGCCTATCCGCCTGCCACTGTTGCCGTCGTCGTTGCTTGAGAGGGCAATTGCAGAGTGTGTAGACGTCAGTTTAAAAGTGGCCTTGAAGAGCGTCCGGAACGACCTGGTCTCAAAACGGGGCAGTCTGGTTCCGCTCAGCGTTTCACCGCGCATTGCTGCCAAAAAGGACATCTATGTCATAGGCGGCTCCAAGAGAGAAATAGTAAATTTTATAATTTTATACAATCTTTGCTGGCTGAAAATTGGTTTTCCACTTCTTTTACGTAAATTAAGTTTTAAAATTATGTGGCAGGTGAATTTAAAATTTTATTTTAGTTAAAATACCTTACTTGTCCTCTATATGTTCTTTTTGAAACTTAATCGATTCAATTACACTGCCAATTTGCCTTTTTTTTTGCACTTCCATTATCCTTAATGAATTTTCATTCTCAAGCGACAATAGATTGTGAATGCAAGCACTGCGGTAAGAAATGTTCACAATATCATATTCTTGAATGTAATGAACGAAAACTAAGCCTAAGAGAGGCTGCAAAAATCAAAATTAACTAATTTTGTACTTTGTAATAATTATCGAAACAAGCTTAATTGTAAAATTAATTTTAGGAAGACAAATTAGCTTTAGACACCCGTTGTACACCTAGTTGTGTTCAATAAATACTCTATCTTTATTATCCTTAATTTGTGACTCACCTGATTCTCAAAATCAGTCTGCAACTTTTTTACAGATCAGCACATGGACAAGGTCAGAGTGCACTTATACTTCAATAGAGTGCTTTGACACTTTCAGACAACATTGGTGTCCTCGGAAATCCAGCATGGCAATCGGTTGGATTCAGCCAGGAGTTGTTGCTCTTGACGGCCTCATCTATGTTGTTGGTGGCGAGCAAGACTCGCAAATTTTGGCCAATGGGGAGGTTTACAACCCTAGAGATGACACCTGGGCAAGTGTGAGTCTTTTTTAACTTTTTTTCCCCAATATGAAACTTTTCTTTAAGTTTTTTAAAATATAAATTGATTGAATAAAAATCTTGCCGTGAAAAACACAATATTCAAAATTAAAATTCTCCCAGGTTGCCAGCATGGTTGTCCCAAGATGCGAGTTTGGCCTTTGTGCACTGCACGGTTACCTGTACGCAATTGGTGGCTGGGTAGGTGAAGACATCGGAGGTAGCATAGAACGGTACGACCCTCTGGAAAACATATGGACATTGGACGGCTCGCTTCCAGCGCCTAGATTCAGCATGGGTGTTGTTGCGTATCAAGGTTTGCAATTTCAACCGCAAAATTTCTTGAAATTAATTTTTGTTTCCCAAGGACTAATTTACATAGTCGGCGGATGTCTGCACAACAAGCGCCATTTGACAGACCTCATCAGTTACAACCCTGTGGCAAACGAGTGGGTCACGTTGGCGCCGATGCTTGTTCCGCGCAGCCAGATGGGTGTTGCTGTGATGGACAATTTTCTTTATGTGGTTGGAGGCATCAACCGACAGCACGAAGTGTTGCAGTCGGTTGAAAGATACAATTTCCTAGAGGTAAGAATCTAACGTTTTACCCTCTAAAATATTCCTATAAATCAAAAATATATGTATATTATCAAAAAAGTTAAGTTGTCAGATTCTATGTTTTAAATATTGTAATTATAAATGATTTTAAATTTTTCATTGAATTGACCAAATTGTTAACTTGTAGATATTAAAAGATTCTTCTTAAAATTTTCAGGACAAATGGATTGAAGTTCCTTCTCTGAAACGAGGTCGTGCCAGTCCTGCTGTGGCGGCTGCCGATGGCCTGCTTTATGTCATGGGTGGTGACCACTCGCACGAAGTCAACTTCTATCGCGCCCGCATCACCATGACCAGCGTCGAGTGCTTCAACCCCTTGACTAACACTTGGTCTGACCGACCACCCCTTCCCGAGAGCCGAAGTGAGGCAGGCGCGGTTGTTGTATAGTTTTAACATTTAATCCCAAAAGACGGAACAAAACGCCAATTATCTTCGTTGATTACTTGACTATCAAATCTGTGGGACGGGAATGAAACAACTCATATCACGCAGACGTATTCAGAAAATTAGACTTGATTTTCCACTTTTAGTCTTAAATCCACAAGCAATTTAATTTTCTTTGGTTTTGAAAGTGGCATAAGGAATTAAAGAGAAGAGGTAAGTGTAATAATTACATCGCTGTGAAGTAGAGAAATCTCGCAAGCTTTTAAAGCTCATGACCATTGGTTTTAGTCACTAAAGGTTTTAATTTTACAAAAGTCATTGTTATTACTCGAAATTGTAGTTCATAAAATTTGTTATCTGTGTTGAAAAAAAATGGAACTTTCCTTGAGTAATAATTGGTATTCAATCTGCTGTTAAATTATCAAGAAATTTTAATTATCATGCATTTTTAAAATTGTGTATATATAACACAACTTGCTTTGCTTTGTAATAAAATAGCTTGTAATGTGTCTTGTATTTCTAAAAACTACTTTTTAATTAGATCTATGGGTCTGCAACAAATTAATAGCTAATGTGTGGACTTGATTAATGGATTTATTGCGTATTAATTACAAGTATTCAAGACATCCTCTCTTTTGTGGACGTCTCAAAACATAAATTCATTCTATACATTTTTAAGGGTGAATACCTCTACTTGTTTTTCAGCTCAGGTCCCCAGTTGAAGAAGAACAGGCCTGATTGCTTGGCCTGTAAGAAAAATTTTTATTTAGCACGTAAATTGAAGCAAATTTTAAAATTTATCAATTACAACAAAGAAGGAGAACAGGCAGAAGGTAACTCCAACAGCCAAGTGGGTGTTGTACCTCCTCTGGAGGCTGGCGTGATGTTGCTGCCAAGAACCCTGAGGGACAGGCAGGTCGTTCATGGTGGGAAGCTTCTGGTTCGAGGGAGAGTGATACTGCCTCGCTGCAAGCAAATTAGGACAAATTTTAATGCAAAACCCATCACGGTGTTCAGTCAAATCATTATGGAGCAGTCATGTTTTTCCAGCGAAGGTAAATTTTCATAGCTCCTTATTAGGCTGAAAAACGACTCGAGAGCAATAAGGACGTACCCAAAACATTCCTGGCTGCAGGTCGGACGATGCGGGACAGCATTTTGCAAAAATTGGTCGTGCACTTGATGTTACAGCCTCGAAATTGTAGAGGACAAGGACAGAGAAGCAGAAAATTCGATTTTTTGCAACTAGCCGGAAGCAGCTGCTGAATGAGAAGAGAATGGCCAGAAGGCAGTTTGTAAAACTTAACAAAAATCAACCTATAATTAGTTTCAGCTTATTTTGTGAATGCATCGATAAAATAAGTACTTTATAAATTTCAGTGCTATTAAAAAATAGTTAAAAAATTTAAAATTATTTAAAAAAAATTAAAACGTGATTATAGCGATACACGATTAAAATATATTTTTCCTCATGTTGGTGCGGAAGAAAACAGTTGAAAATCGACCCTTTTCGATGATGACGATGATCCTCGAATTTGAACTTTATTTGTTTACAATGTTTACATTTAATGATTAAATTTTCAACCCTCCTCTTTGCTTTTGTTCAGGAATCAGAAAGAACTGAAAGAAGAATGGACAGTGATATTTTGTTTGTCTTGATCGATCAAAAATGTTCGTATTCAATTTGATTATTGTTATATTTCCAAATTTGTTACATACACACTTACTATTATACAATATGATAGAGCAAAACATATTTAAGACCGGGTGTCACATACATATCGGTGCATATATTTACTGTATTACCATAGATAATTTTTTTTTAATATATATATCTCCGAATTGTGTAGACTATTAAACATACTATAATGTCATTAATGTTATTTTGCATTTGTTACAGAAAAATTTGTTTATTTGATAATAAATAAATATCAAAATGTTTGTCCGTGAGCTGAAGAAACTTGTGCTGTGTTCTCCAAAGGCCAACATCACATTATTATGCAGAGTTTTTAGCAAAAAATTTGATGACAGCGCGTTCCTCAACATCCCGCCAGAAGATATTCGTAACTTCAGCATAGTTGCTCACGTGGACCACGGAAAATCTACTCTTGCAGACCGAATCCTCGAAATGACCGGTTCGAATTCTTCCAATCTCGCACAAGATTTTTATTTTTTTTTTTAATTCCCCATCCTCAATATTACAGGAGCTATTCTGCCAAACTCTGGGGCCCAGGTTCTGGATAAGTTGCAGGTTGAAAGAGAGCGCGGGATCACAGTAAAAGCACAAACAGCCACCTTGGAGTATATTTCAAAAAAGTCCCCTGGCAAACGATTAATGTTGAATTTAATCGACACTCCTGGTCATGTTGATTTTTCTTACGAGGTTTCGCGCTCACTGAGTGCTTGCCAAGGTGTTGTTCTGCTTGTCGATGCCAATCAAGGTTGACTGAAATTATTTGAACTTAAATTTTTTACTGCTATAAATTTTAAAATAATTGCAGAGGTCCAGGCACAAACGGTGGCCAATTACGATCTGGCAGTCAGTCAAGGATTGAAAATAATTCCTGTCCTTAACAAAATCGATCTGAAAAATGCAGATCCGGAGGCAATTTCCGACCAAATGAATGTGATCTTCAACATCCCTAAAACAGATATTCTTAGAGTAACGCTAAAATTTATAAATAAATTAAATTCTCTTTTAAATTATTTGTATTAAGATATCAGCCAAGACTGGTCACGGAGTATCTGAACTGATGGACGCAATTGTTGATAGAATTCCACCGCCTCCTGCCGTTATTAATGCTGAGTTCCGAGGGCTGATTTTTGACAGTTGGTACGACAGGTACAAGGGAGTGATTGTACTTGTCTACGTGGCTGACGGGAGCATCAAGCCCGGACAGACTATTACCTCCGTCCATACAAACATCAGCTACGAAGTTAGGCATTTAGGAATTCTACGGCCTGGAGAACAACCGGTTTCAGCTTTGTAAGAGTTTAAAGAGTCGAATGAAAGATTTAAAGATAGAAGCATTATTTTGCAGAAAGGCTGGAAATGTAGGGTTCATTATGTGCAATATGAAAAGCATCAAAGATGCCCATTCTGGGGATACTCTTAAACTCAAAGGTTCAAACGTTGAACCGCTAAAAGGTCAGTAGCATTTTTTTTTTAAACCCACATTCTCCTGTAAAAAATATATTTTTTTAATTAGGCTTTAAGCCAATTAAACCCATGGTATATGCTGGTGTGTATCCAATGGACCAAGCCCAGCACCAAAACCTGAAGGGTGCCATTGAAAAACTGACCTTAACCGATCCCAGCGTTTCGGTTGCCATCTGCTCGAGCCCAGCCTTGGGTCAAGGATGGCGACTGGGTTTCCTGGGGCTCCTTCACTTGGATGTTTTCTCCCAGCGACTCGAGCAAGAGTACGGCGCACTGGCCGTTCTCTCTGCACCCTCAGTTACCTTTAAAGGTATGATTTTATTTCATTTTCTATAATAATTTACTTTCAAACTCTTTTGCAGCCAAAATCAAACCTATTGCTAAGCTCATAAAACAATATGGCAAAGAAATTGAATTTAATAACCCTGCGCTCTTTCCGCACTCAACAATTGTTGAGGAGTACTATGAGCCAATGGTATTGGGCACCATTATTACCCCTGGTGATAAATTATTTCTCAACTCTTTTAAATATATTAAAATGTCATTTTCTTCAGATGCTTATTTGGGTCAGGTGATTTCTCTGTGTGTGGATAAAAGAGGCCGACAATTAAACTCAAAAAATTTGGACCAGTCTCGAGTGGTGCTCCAGTTCATATTGCCTTTGAGTGAAATTGTGATTGATTTCCACGACCGGCTTAAGTCAGTTACATCAGGATTTGCCAGTTTTGACTATGAGGACCACGGTTATGAAGCTGCTAGTCTTGTAAAGGTATATTTTATGATACTCTTCTAGTGCAAATATTTAGTATCAACTTTTTTCCAGATTGATATTTTGCTGAATGGCATAGTAATAGACGAATTAAGCAATGTAGCACATTACAAGAGGGCCCAACAGTTTGGTAAAGACTTGTGCAGAAAACTTTTGGATATCATTCCAAGGCAACAATTTTTGGTAAAAATCAAGTATAATAGGAATCAGTGAAAATATTTATAAGCTTGTTATTGATTAGGTCGCAATCCAAGCATCTGTTGGAAGTAAAGTTCTTGCTAGAGAAGATTTGAAGCCGTACAGAAAAGACGTCACAGCCAAACTGGTAAGCAGTGAATTTTCAAATTTTCCAACTTAAAATTTATTTTTCATAAAAAATATTTCAGTATGGAGGAGATGTGACGAGGAGGAATAAACTTTTGGCGAGACAAGCAGAAGGCAAGAAGAAGTTGAGGCTAGCTGGAAATTTAGACGTGCCAAGAGACACATTTATAAAAGCTTTGAAGTTTTGAAACAGACTTAAAATTTATTTCCTAGTCAGAGAGAAACTCCCTTTCAAGTGCCAGTCCCATTTCACTCAGGTCCCCTTCCACTTCACTACTTTCAGAGTCTGTGTCGTAAGTGCCGTTAAGCGAGTCATTAGAGTCTTTTGGTAACTTCAGCTTCGGCTCTTCCTCTTCGCCTGCTTGACTTGACCTCTTCCGACTTCTAGAAACATCGTCTTGACTCTCCTCGTCGTCCGTCTTGAAGTCGTCCACAAACGAATTGAAGTCATTTTTCAACGAGTCCTCACCCAGCGTCTCTTCGTCTTGGTCGTCGGTGTCCGAGTCACGATCCATAGCCGACTCATCGTCTGTTTCGTTGCAAATGTCGTCCACCTCCTGGTCCATGGACTTCAGGTCGTCGGACGAAAGGACCAGAAGAGGGTTGTAAGACTCAGCCATACTGCTGCTCAGTCTCAAGTGTCTTTCAGGCAAAACTAAAAAAAAAAAAATTACAACAAGAAGGTACATGGATTAAAAGGCTTTAATTTACTAAAAATAAAACCCACCTCTTTTTGGTGACTTTGGTATAGGAAAAAGTCTCTCGTCAACTCTCTCCCATCTCTCTGAACAACACACAAGCCACTCTGGTGACACCACTTGAATGCCTGATCCTGCTCTACGCGCCTCGTTGACCTTGGCTGTTCCGTGTCTTGCCGCTACCAAATGAGTTGTCTCTCCTGCAACAACCTAAAATCCCACCATGAATCGCTTTCTTGCTAAATTTGATGCTTCCTCACCTGTTCAGCAACAGTGGCTCCTAATTTTCGGGCCATTTGTGCGTAGCGGCTGTTGTTGACTGATACGTGGGTAGGCACCACACCACTGAACACAATTCGCTGACCTTCCAGCACTTTGCTTCTGATTTTTGGGATCACGTCTCGCATGACAGGTACTTGACCAGTCTCATCGTACTCCTTGTAGAAAGCTGCGTGGACTGATTTTAAAATCTCCTCTAAATAAATAAGGTAGTCATCAGGGTCGTCAATTTCAATTTTTTCGACTTTCTCCTCATTTGCCACCCTGTCCAGTTTGGTCTCTGAGCCGTCTCCCTTACTTTTCTCATCTTCAATCTTACATTCTTCTTTTTCCTTCTCTTCTTTTTCCTTCTCTTCTTTTTCAATTTCTCCAACGCCTTTCTCTTCATCTTTAACGTCTTCAGAAGATTTAAGCTCTTTGATTTCAGAAGTTTTCTCTTCCGATTTCTCAGATAGCTTGGGATCTTCTGTAGACTTTGTGTTTTTATCAACCAGTACTTAAAATTAAAAACCAATAATTAAATTTTGACCTTCTCAATACTAAAATTTATCAATTTTTTTTTTTACCTTCAGGGACACAACCAGATCCGTCTTGCTCGTGTTTATCTAAACCAGGAGGAGCATTAATGTCTCCAGTGTGTTGGAAGAAGTGGTATGGCTTGACGGCTACCACATTAGACGCAAAATTCCAAACATCCTCTCGGTCATCAATGATGCACACCATGTGATCACCACAGGGAAAAAGTGCCCTTTTCGTAATCATAAAAAACAAAATGATAAGGACCATAATCAATTTGTAACTATAAATCTCACGAGAGATTTGCTGTTTTCGAGTGAGGGTCAAAACACTCGTCTCGAGACAATATGCGGTGAGAGAAAAGCCGTTCATCAGTATCAAGCATTTTAGCAATTGTGTGTGCGTAAAGTCTTGCGCCAAAGGTGCAAATGTGCAGTTCAAAGAGGCTGAACATGCTCTCCAGGAATTTGGCTGTCAGAGGCCTCAGTCGAGTGTGGTACCACGGAGAGTGTGGCCCGTACAGTTGAAAGTGATGCACATCCTAAAAGTTTGAATTAAAAATATAACACAAAATTCAATTTCAGTTAAAAAAAAAGTGTTCAAATGAGATACCTTTAAATTTGGAGGTACATTGTCGTTAGTTGTGTGAATCAAAGTTTGGTCCAAATCGACCAGTAATACCAGCTTTCTGTCTTTGAGCAGCCTCTTCTCATCCACCTTTCCAAGTTGCTGTGCTCGCTGGATTATTTTTTATGTGGAAATTAATACATTAATTTTCTGGGTAATTGAAAAAAAAATCAATTTCTTACCTCAACGCTGACTTTGAGATCAGGAACTGAATGGACCATCGGCACGGAAGCTGTCTGTTGTTCGTTGCTTAAGTCTGCTCCACACTCGGCACACAGGTCGCGCATCACCGTAGGGTGAGAACACATTTCCATTTCCATGATTTCATCTCTGAAATTTGTGAAGTAAATTATCTTTACGTAGAATTAAAACTGCCGAAATACCCAAGCTTAAAGAGGTCTCCCTCTTTGATGAGAATTTTGACCACAGTGCCGACTTTGGTGGCTTTGAGTTTTTCAACATCGTCTCCAGACGCCTCCTGCTCCTCTGAAGCCTTAGAATAATGCAGGATGATTTTGCCACTGGAGACCTAATCTCCAGGCTTCACCTTCCACTGAATCAGCTTGTAGCTTTCCTTCGATTTTGTACCGGCAAAAGTCACTTTTTGTGTCACCATTTCTGTTTTTGTTTATGTTTCCAAATATTTCTGCGCCCCCATCAAGGCTCCGAGCAGTGAGCTCCAAATTGAGCAGCTGGCCGCGCTGGCTGGGAGCGCTAGAGAGCCATAAGGAGAGCATATAGAGGAGTTTGCATAAACTCAAGATACTTAACAATTTATAAAAAACTAAAATGTGCTGAAAAATTAAATATAATTATTATGAAATTATATAAACAAATAAATTATTATTCTGTATTTATTATAAAATTATATATTTTTTTCAAGAGCTGAAATATTTATTGATCCTTTTTACATGTCCATGTGTCCATAACCCATACTCCATAGGTGGGCCACGCCTACAAGAAAACGTGTCCAGAGAAAAGCGGCCGACGGCCGACCAACCGGCCGACTTTTGGTCGGCGGGCCGTCTGAGACTGCCGGCGGCCGTCCCAGTGCGGGCAGTGCGTCCTTTTCCCTTGTTGGTGTGGTAATTATAAAACTTAATGATTATATTAACATTTCAGGATATTTATTCTGATTCGAAATTGTGTAAAAGTTATATTCTGCAGATTTGCTGCTGTTTGCTGATTTTCAAATCTCCGACTTTGAGCTGCCCACTGCCCTCTTCGTCGACCTGCCTCCTGCCTGTCATTTTTGATTTGCAACTGCTGGAATTTTTTTCTCTTTTGCGGGCATGCTCAAAATTAAAATCAATGCAACACTGAAAGAAAATATTAAATTCTATTTACTAAACCATAAAAAATTCAAATTTAACTTTTATTTATTAAAAATAATATATCATAATTTTTTAAATAGTTAATTTATAATCATCTCTAAATATATTTTTCTGTTGAAGCAACAATTACTTTTTCTTTTGGCACTGGGCGCCTTGCTGAGGAAGGTCTAGGAATCTATTGTTGCAAAAGTATAAATATCATAGAGTTTGGTTTATTTCATCATTCGTCCAACATGAGCCGACCGAAACAAGACCAATGCAGCTCCTTGCGCCATCGTTAGCAAGAGAGTCCTGACGGCTGCGAAAGCAGGTATGTAATTTAAGTTAACATGCGAGCGTTTTAAAAATCGCGTTCACTTTTCACATATTCGCGTTCACTTTTTAAAATTTTCACCAAAAGAATTTTTGAAATTCTTCCTTCTTTTTCAAAAATTCTTTTGGTCGATGGCGTTCACTTTTGTAAAAAAATTCTTTAACTTAACGTCTTAACATTCTTTTGCTTGCACTTTGCTTTCACTTTTTAAAACCAAAGAATTTTAGCAAAGTGAACGCGATGATTGGCCAAAAAATTTTTGAACAAGGGTTCACCTTTTTTAAAAATTCTTTAAAAGGGTGCCGGTCACTTTTCAAAAATTCTTTTGAAGAAATTTTGAAAAGCATTCAACCAAAAGAATTTTTAAAAATGGTAAATAGGAAGAATATTGCGGCAAATTCTTTTGGTCGATCGCGTTCACTTTTCAAAATATTCTTCCAAAGAATTTTTGAAAAGTGACCGGCACCCTTTTTCACTTTTTTTTTAAATTCTTTTGGTCGATCGTGTTCACTTTTCTAAAAGTCTTTGGAAGAAATTTTGAAAAGTGAACGCAATCGACCAAAAGAATTTTTAAGACGTTAACGTGGCCGAATATTTGAAAAGTGAACGCGATCGACCAAAAGAATTCACTTTTCAAAAATTCTTTGGGTCAACGTCTTAAAAATTCTTTTGGTCGATCGCGTTCACTTTTCTCTTCCAAAGAATTTTTGAAAAGTGAACGCAATGATCGACCAATTTGAAAAGTGAACGCGATGATCGACCAACAATCTTTTTATCTTTCAGCTATTGTAAAGGTCAATGAGCAGGACTTCGACGATCTGATTCCGGCCCACCACGCCGGCGGGAGACACAGACGTTTCCCGACAGTGGAACTTCGTGGACCAACATAAACACAAAACTCATGGCACGCTTACAACCTTCTAGACGCGTTTGTCGCGGCTCCATGAAGATTACCAGTTGGATGGCCAAACACCTCTCCCTGAAGACCGGAAAAGAGGTGGACGTTGTGAAATGGCCATCCCCGATCAGAGTCCTTGACATCGCAACACTTCACGGCGGGGACTATTCGGAGAAGCAGATGAAGTCCATGAAGAAGGCCGTTATCAAGTTGGCTGTTGTCAACACAGACACACGGTCGTTAAAATACTCATGCGCGACCAGGGAGCAGTGAAGATACGGTTTGGCAAAACAAAACCACGACAGGCTGGCTACGTGGAAGAATCGACTGTGTTGACAATCTCTAGGCCTGAGGACTCGGACTCTGGAAGCTCCAGCAGTGACACGGACTGACTGATCTTTAGTCCAAAATTTCTGCGTTGTTTTTAAATATACTACAAACAGCTTTCTTGTTATTATTTTTTATTTTTTAAATATAAACCTTAAACGCTTTAAGTCACTCTCCACCGGTGTCTCAAGCCAATTTTTGTCTTAAGATAGCTATCTTAAGTGCAGTGTAGAAGAGGTCAAAAATATTTGAACAAACAATATAATATATGATTTGAAACTAAAAATAGAATATGAATTTTCCGGAATTTTCCCCCTAAAATCATTTTGGCTTTTAAAATTTATATTTTTTCAATTTATTCAATTCCTTTCATTTAAAACTTAAGATATCTATCTCTTAAAAAATTAAAATTTACAATAAAACTCTTCGATAAGTGATGTGGATCATTAAAATAAGTATATAATAAAGATCGTGATCCTGAAATAATTTTATTATTAGATTTTATAATTTAACTTACATGTATGGTGAAGTGAAATTATTGCTATTATATAAATTGAATATACTGTTTTTAATTTTCAAGATTTTTTCATCAAATATGCAATAGCAAATTTTAATTGGAAAATAATATTTTAAAATGAATGATGACAGAGCAGAAATAATAACTGTTTTGCGTTTAAAAAAATTAATCTATTCGTTAGTAAATTATAATTATATTAATTTAAGTTTTTACAAAAAATTTATAGTAAATATTGCGAAACATAAAAATTTTATGTTTTTAATTAATAAAGTTTTCTGCCCGAGTGATTGGCTGGTCCGACCGCAAAAATAATTGGCGCTTCGATCGATTTAAGTGCAGTGTAAAATACAGTAATTTTGGCTTAGCATGCCCTAAGACAGCTGAAGACAGCAATTGCTCAGCACTATCGTAAGTGAGCGTTTTATGTAGAGCCAGCACCAAAGATCTTTTAGCCATGGCACCATGCACCATGGGCGGCCTTGATGGGCGGTGTTGCTCGCTCCAGCCGCTAGGGGGCGTGGCTTTCTTGTAGCCAAACATAGCCAAAGCAGAAAAGCGCTGCAAAAATAAAAAGGCAAGTTTATAACCAGATTTACAACTTAATAGGATTTTTATTTTTAACATGATCTACGAAATCGACTGCAAAACATGATTTTTTTTTCAATTTTAATAATTAATATTATGTAGTTCATGTTTATACAGTAAAATCCTCTGTTTCATATTGTGTTACATATAGGCGCATTTTTTTTCTTTTTTGAATGAGAATAATCAACACAAATAAAACTTTATTTTGTGTCACTATGTGTTAAAATACGATCGTGAAGTTGGCCACTTTTTTCAGCCACTCGCCAGAACTTGGCCACTTTTCCGAGCCACTCATATTTCTTCGAAAGAACAATGTTGCCAACATAACACCGGCATAAACGTAGAGTCAAAACAAAAAACACGGGCTTTTAAGATTTGAAAACGATTTCATCCGTCAGAAAGGTAATAAAATAATCAAATAATATACATTGAACATTGAACGCATTGAAGTTTGGTTTTACTAATCTATAAAGTGAAACTCCTCAATGTTATACGACATAAATATTTTATTAAACCCTTGTTGATCGACTACGCAATGCTTTTAATTTTTTTAAAATTAATTTGTATGGTTGAATTTTGCTCACTTTTTGCAAAAAGGTGTCCCAAGTACTTGTTTACAAAGGGACAATAGAATCATTGATGATCGCAGATCAGGAGCCGCCCCCGGGGGCAGCCACTTTTTTAAAACGACGATTTTGTCTCAAAAAAATAGTTTTTTTTTAATTTAAATTATTTTCTATGGTTGAAAATTGCTGATTTTTTGCACAAAGGTGGCCCAAGTACTTTTCTACAAAGTGGCAATAGAATCATTGATGATCGCAGATCAGGAGCCGCCCCCGGGGGCAGCCACTTTTTTAAAACGACGATTTTCACTCAAAAAAATAGTTTTTTTTTAATTTAAATTATTTTCTATGGTTGAATTTTTCTAAATTTTTGCACAAAGGTGGCCCAAGTACTTTTCTACAAAGTGACAATAGCCTCATTGATGATCGCAGATCAGGAGCCGCCCCCGGGGGCAGCCACTTTTTTAAAATGACGATTTTCACTCAAAAAAATAGTTTTTTTTAATTTAAATTATTTTCTATGGTTGAATTTTTCTAAATTTTTGCACAAAGGTGGCCCAAGTACTTGTCTACAAAGTGGCAATAGCCTCATTGATGATCGCAGCACAGGAGCCGCCCCCGGGGGCAGCCACTTTTTTAAAACGACGATTTTCACTCAAAAATATAGTTTTTTTTTTAATTTAAATTATTTTCTATGGTTGAATTTTTCTAAATTTTTGCACAAAGGTGGCCCAAGTACTTTTCTACAAAGTGACAATAGCCTCATTGATGATCGCAGCACAGGAGCCGCCCCCGGGGGCAGCCACTTTTTTAAAACGACGATTTTCACTCAAAAAAATAGTTTTTTTTAATTTAAATTTTTTTCTATGGTTGAATTTTTCTAAATTTTTGTACAAAGGTGGCCCAAGTACTTTTCTACAAAGTGACAATAGCCTCATTGATGATCGCAGCACAGGAGCCGCCCCCGGGAGCAGCCACTTTTTTAATACGACGATTTTCACTCAAAAAAATAGTTTTTTTTAATTTAAATTATTTTCGATGGTTGAATTTTTGTAAATTTTTGAACAAAGGTGGCCCAAGTACTTGTCTACAAAGTGACAATAGCCTCATTGATGATCGCAGCACAGGAGCCGCCCCCGGGCCCCCCGGGGGCAGCCACTTTTTGAAAACGACTATTTTCACTTAAAGAAATAGTTTTTTTAGATTTAAATTAATTTCTATGGTTGAATATTGCTGATTTTTTGCTCAAAGGTGGCCCAAGTACTTGTTTACAAAGTGGCAATAGCCTCATTGAAATTCGCAGCTCAGGAGCCGCCCCTGGGGGCAGCCACTTTTTTAAAACGACTATTTTCACTTAAAAATTTAGTTTTTTTTAATTTAAATTAATTTCTATGGTTGAATTTTGCTGATTCTGTGCACAAAGGTGGCCCAAGTACTTGATTACAAAGGGACAATAGCCTCATTGATGATCGCAGAACAGGAGCCGCCCCCGGGGGCAGCCACTTTTTTACAACGACGATTTTCACTCAAAAAAATAGTTTTTTTTTATTTAAATTATTTTCTATGGTTGAATTTTTCTAAATTTTTGCACAAAGGTGGCCCAAGTACTTGTTTACAAAGGGACAATAGCCTCATTGATGATCGCAGATCAGGAGCCGCCCCCGGGGGCAGTCACTTTTTTAAAACGACGATTTTCACTTAAAAATTTAGTTTTTTTTTTAATTTAAATTAATTTCTATGGTTGAATTTTTCTAAATTTTTGCACAAAGGTGGCCCAAGTACTTGTCTACAAAGTGGCTATAGCCTCATTGATGATCGCAGATCAGGAGCCGCCCCCGGGGGCAGCCACTTTTTTAAAACGACGATTTTCACTCAAAAAAATTGTTTTTTTTAATTTAAATTATTTTCGATGGTTGAATTTTTCTAAATTTATGCACAAAGGTGGCCCAAGTACTTTTCTACAAAGTGACAATAGCCTCATTGATGATCGCAGATCAGGAGCCGCCCCCGGGGGCAGCCACTTTTTTAAAATGACGATTTTCACTCAAAAAAATAGTTTTTTTTAATTTAAATTATTTTCTATGGTTGAATTTTTCTAAATTTTTGCACAAAGGTGGCCCAAGTACTTGTCTACAAAGTGGCAATAGCCTCATTGATGATCGCAGCACAGGAGCCGCCCCCGGGGGCAGCCACTTTTTTAAAACGACGATTTTGTCTCAAAAAAATAGTTTATTTTTAATTTAAATTATTTTCTATGGTTGAAAATTGCTGATTTTTTGCACAAAGGTGGCCCAAGTACTTTTCTACAAAGTGGCAATAGAATCATTGATGATCGCAGATCAGGAGCCGCCCCCGGGGGCAGCCACTTTTTTAAAACGACGATTTTCACTCAAAAAAATAGTTTTTTTTTAATTTAAATTATTTTCTACGGTTGAATTTTTCTAAATTTTTGCACAAAGGTGGCCCAAGTACTTTTCTACAAAGTGACAATAGCCTCATTGATGATCGCAGATCAGGAGCCGCCCCCGGGGGCAGCCACTTTTTTAAAATGACGATTTTCACTCAAAAAAATAGTTTTTTTTAATTTAAATTATTTTCTATGGTTGAATTTTTCTAAATTTTTGCACAAAGGTGGCCCAAGTACTTGTCTACAAAGTGGCAATAGCCTCATTGATGATCGCAGCACAGGAGCCGCCCCCGGGGGCAGCCACTTTTTTAAAACGACGATTTTCACTCAAAAATATAGTTTTTTTTTTAATTTAAATTATTTTCTATGGTTGAATTTTTCTAAATTTTTGCACAAAGGTGGCCCAAGTACTTTTCTACAAAGTGACAATAGCCTCATTGATGATCGCAGCACAGGAGCCGCCCCCGGGGGCAGCCACTTTTTTAAAACGACGATTTTCACTCAAAAAAATAGTTTTTTTTAATTTAAATTTTTTTCTATGGTTGAATTTTTCTAAATTTTTGCACAAAGGTGGCCCAAGTACTTTTCTACAAAGTGACAATAGCCTCATTGATGATCGCAGCACAGGAGCCGCCCCCGGGAGCAGCCACTTTTTTAATACGACGATTTTCACTCAAAAAAATAGTTTTTTTTAATTTAAATTATTTTCAATGGTTGAATTTTTGTAAATTTTTGAACAAAGGTGGCCCAAGTACTTGTCTACAAAGTGACAATAGCCTCATTGATGATCGCAGCACAGGAGCCGCCCCCGGGCCCCCCGGGGGCAGCCACTTTTTGAAAACGACTATTTTCACTTAAAGAAATAGTTTTTTTAGATTTAAATTAATTTCTATGGTTGAATATTGCTGATTTTTTGCTCAAAGGTGGCCCAAGTACTTGTTTACAAAGTGGCAATAGCCTCATTGAAATTCGCAGCTCAGGAGCCGCCCCTGGGGGCAGCCACTTTTTTAAAACGACTATTTTCACTTAAAAATTTAGTTTTTTTTAATTTAAATTAATTTCTATGGTTGAATTTTGCTGATTCTGTGCACAAAGGTGGCCCAAGTACTTGATTACAAAGGGACAATAGCCTCATTGATGATCGCAGAACAGGAGCCGCCCCCGGGGGCAGCCACTTTTTTACAACGACGATTTTCACTCAAAAAAATAGTTTTTTTTTATTTAAATTATTTTCTATGGTTGAATTTTTCTAAATTTTTGCACAAAGGTGGCCCAAGTACTTGTTTACAAAGGGACAATAGCCTCATTGATGATCGCAGATCAGGAGCCGCCCCCGGGGGCAGTCACTTTTTTAAAACGACGATTTTCACTTAAAAATTTAGTTTTTTTTTTAATTTAAATTAATTTCTATGGTTGAATTTTTCTAAATTTTTGCACAAAGGTGGCCCAAGTACTTGTCTACAAAGTGGCTATAGCCTCATTGATGATCGCAGATCAGGAGCCGCCCCCGGGGGCAGCCACTTTTTTAAAACGACGATTTTCACTCAAAAAAATTGTTTTTTTTAATTTAAATTATTTTCGATGGTTGAATTTTTCTAAATTTATGCACAAAGGTGGCCCAAGTACTTTTCTACAAAGTGACAATAGCCTCATTGATGATCGCAGCCCAGAAGCCGCCCCCGAGTGCAGCCACTTTTTGAAAACGACAATTTTCACTTAAAAAAATAGTTTTTTTAAATTTAAATTAATTTCCATGGTTGAATATTGCTGATTTTTTGCACAAAGGTGGCCCGAGTACTTGTTTACAAAGTGGCAATAGCCTCATTGATGATCGCAGCACAGGAGCCGCCCCCGGGCCCCCCGGGGGCAGCCACTTTTTGAAAACGACTATTTTCACTTAAAGAAATAGTTTTTTTAGATTTAAATTAATTTCTATGGTTGAATATTGCTGATTTTTTGCTCAAAGGTGGCCCAAGTACTTGTTTACAAAGTGGCAATAGCCTCATTGAAATTCGCAGCTCAGGAGCCGCCCCTGGGGGCAGCCACTTTTTGAAAATGATGATTTTCACTTACAAAAAAATATTTTTTAGATTGAGTATTTTTTGAACACAAATAGGTGTACAACGGTTGTCTAATTTGTCTTCCTAAAGTTAGTTTTATAATTAAGCTTGTTTCGATAATTATAACAAAGTACAAAGTTAGTTAATTCTGATTTTTGCAGCCTCTCTTAGGCTTAGTTTTCGTTCATAATATTCAAGAATATGATATTGTGAGCATTTATTACCGCAGTGCTTGCATTCACAATCTATTGTCGCTTGAGAATGGAAATTGTTATCCTTACAAAATACAAAATAAATAGTGGTACCGTGACAGGCAAATCTCGTAAACACTTGGCGATCACTTGACATTGCACATTGTCAATTTTTATTCTTCAAAGTTTCTGTCTCGTAGAACTCATCATATATATCAAGTTTGTTTAAATACTTAGACACACAAAATTTCTGGAATGCTTCAGTTTCAGTTAGATAATTATTTTACCTGTATGTCCGATACAAAGAGATCAGTGTCAACTAATTCATACACAAATCTAGATCTAATATACTTGGACAGTCCTAAAACTCTTTTTAAATATCTTGTTTTGACTTTTTCAAGATTTTCAAAATCAGTCTTTGTTAGGAAAGGCCAAATTTCTTCAATGCCGTAGGACGCAATTGGGGAGATTTTTAGATCAAATAGCTTGTGTGCTGTTGCAATGGATAATTGTTTTAGTTCTCTTATATTATAAGTGGCCAGCAATGCAGCTCTTGTTCTTTTTTCAATGTGCTTTCCAAAAGAGATTTCTGATGGTTTGCACAGAGGAAGCCTGTACTTTGAAAAAAAAAGAGGTGCGCTTTTCTTCAAAATTTACCACTCAGTTTGCAACAGTTGTTGAGCATAAAAAGTTATGGTTGATGGAGAGGAAGCAAAGACATTGGAATTATAATTATTATCTTTTTTTATAGAAAAACCATTTCGTTGCTCATGCGCGCAATTTTCCCGTTTCCATTTTCGTCATGTAAAAAATTGCCCAATTGTTTTACAGGATAAAGTAAAAAAACTGAATTACCTCATAAAATGGCATGAAAGATAAATGATAGACTTTTTTTGTTATTATTTACAAATATAATATATATAAGTGAGTGCCAGCAATAAAGTCACACAATTTGCGCTGGAAATGCACTTTTCAAGTGCAAAAAAATTCCAAAACCTTTGTTTGAGATTACAAATCGAATATATAAATTTAATTTGGCCCCTGATACTCAAATTTAATTTCCTCCCGCTCAGTCTATAATATTCGTTTTGAATTAATTTGTTACATTTAAAATTAAAACGTGGGGCATTTTTGAAAATATAGTAAATAGGGGGGATGGATATGATTAGTTAAGTATTTAGTTAACTTAGGTAGATAACTAAAGAGCGCGGGCATTTATATATAACATTCATTGCCCCTACCAAAATTTTCATCTCGTGCCTGACGCGACGCGCTACTTTTGATCAACCTTACTCCGCAATTTATGTCTCAGGTTTGCTGTCGGTTGACTTTTATTTCAAGAGATAAAAGTATAATATTTTTTTTTTTTTTGGCATAACAAAGGGTTTAATGAGAATGGTAACCAGAATATTTTTTTTAATATCGTGGTTTTCTTTTTTTACTTATTTCATCGAATATGAATTTTTTAGTTAGAATTGAAATGAGCGATGAGCGTGAGCCAAATTGTGTTTTCATGTTGAATCATGTTGTATAATTTTACGCGGGATAGCGGGATAGGAAATGCAAGTGAATCTTGTTGCTCTTCTAGACTCCCCTTCCCTTCCCATTTTCGTGTACTTGTCAGCCTATCGCAATACCAATAAGAGGAGATTTTAGCCTCACCACATTCCTACTCCACTTCAACATTGGATGCCCTCCTCGAAAATTTTGGTTCGGTCTTCCTCATTCAGCATTTATTGATATTCCGTGACTCTATGACAGAGAACAATCTCAATTTCACATCTCGATGTTCCCTTATAACGAATTTTAATTAATTTCCAAAATTAATATTAAATTCTCATGTGATATTATTTCCAATAATCCCTTCCTTTTCCTTTTACACAAATAATAATTAACGCGTGTGCGGCGAGCAAGTTAAAGAAGAGAGAGAGCGAGCGAGCAGCAGGCAGCGAGTGATAAGAACAATGAAGGTCATTGACTCCCTCCTTCGCTGCAGCCGGTCAAAGTGCAACGCTTGCCACCATACAGGTAAACCGGGGAAGAGCACGGCGCTCTTATGCGAATCAAATCAGTCGCCCAGCCAAATTCAACGGGGCCGCCTCGCGCCGTGGTACCGGCGAGGCGAGAGCTCAAACTTTCACCCTTTTGGGGGTGGATTTAATTTGCATCTGGTCTTTGGACCGACAGAGTAAGTTACTCTAAAATTCTTGGTTTAATCGGGCGATTAATAATCAAGAGCAACCTTCTGATTGCTCAAATCAAATTTCTTCGGGCAGGGTTTTATTCTTAAATTAAAGACTGGTTTGATTGCGCACCCTAGGTTTGCCCTGGTGGGCGGTCACCCCTGGACGGACTTGCTTCCTGAGTCCATGGCCGCCACCAGAGCCGTGTCCCTGGCGTCGTAAGGGACAGGCGGACAGGTCCCACGTCACCTTCGACCTGACCGCGTGGCTTCACCATCCAGCCACCCAGACCGGCAGCAATCGTGCCAATTCGATCGACTCGAGCAACGACTCGCCGCGACCATCACCTCCGATCACTGCACCATCAAGACAACGAACTCGATAAGTACAATTTGCGAGTGCAACTTCAGTGATAAAATACGAAACGCGTAAAAGGCCTATTTCAAAATATTTGTATATTAATCATGTGAAACACATTTTCCTTACCTAATCCATATTACCTCATTTGAATATCACATTTTTTCTATTTTCAAAATAACCAAAACTTTCATTAAAATTTAATCAAAAAATAATAAGTTTCAATTTGAGTTTTCCTGAATTAAATTATCTGCATTTTATTTTGTGTGCTTTCAACCCTCTCACAAGTTTAAAAAAGGTCTACCTGCACCTTGAGATAAGAAGCCGAGGTTAAAATAAATAACGGATTAAAGTTAACTTTTTTAATCGTTATAAATGGCGCCCAACTAAATATAAAACTGTGAGAGAGGAAAATTTTGGTGCAAAATTTTAAGCGTGCGTCCTGTGCTCGTCGATCAATTTTTAGAATTCTTTGAATACACTCCTGGTGTGCATTTTTGCAGCGTGCTCTGCATATTTTCTCGTCTGCCAATGCGAGAACGAATTTCCACACTCTATTGAGAGTAGTGCGATCAGAGAAGCAAATTTTTTTGTTGAATTTTGTTGTTCTCTTTATTTTTTCAAGTTACGTTTGTTTTTGTGAGTTACATTTTAGTGTGTTAAAAGTAAATTCCAAATGGAGTCATTAAAGATAGAATGGGACCGTCTGTCCAAAGAGGATTGCGAGGCAGAGGCCGCCGTGAGGAATATCACGGGCGAGAACCTCTCGGCCATCAGAAAGAATTTGAAAGATGCCCTCGAGCTGGAGGCACAAAAGGAGGCCGAGCCACCTCCGCTATTGACTGATCCAGAACAAATTGACGCGGAATTAAAAGTAATTGTTGACCGCGCCGTGGAGCTCAGAGAAGCGATTAAGCTATGTTGCTCAAATAAAAACGCGACGGAGGCGCGAAAAATAAAGACGCTTATTGCTTGGTTGGGACTTCGTCTAAAGAGAGTCACGATTTACGACGAAGCCACTGCCAAACGACATGATTCTTTAGTGACATATTTTGAGCAGTGTGTTGATTGGCTAAAAAAAGGCGTTCCGGACGAACCTGAACCTAAAGTAGTGTTAGAAAAAGAAAAATTGGACCAATCATTTTCCTTGCTGGACCAATTGTCCAACGACCCTCTGTTGGAGGACAATTTGGACCAAGTTCAGCCGGCCGGAAACGCAAACACACAAAAATCGCCAAATGTTGATTTTCCATCAAATCAGTCAATGTTTCCATTTTGTTACGTGCCCATGTCATTTAACCAAACAACGCGTAATTTTACCCCAGTTGATGCGCAAAATAGTGCACAGTTCATGCCATTTTCTCAGCCTGTACGTTCAAATGTCCGAGTGATCTACACAAAAGACTGGAAATTGCAATTTACTGGAGAGCCTTCCAGTAAATTGTCACTTGCAGTATTTTTGCGTGACGTTGGACTAAAAAGACAGGAGAGCAATTTGTCAGGAACAGAGTTTTGGGCCTCAGCGCACAACTTGTTTGATGGCCAGGCAAAAACATGGTTTTTGAATAATAGACACAAGTGGAACTCCTGGGCGGAATTTGTGCCACATTTCATTTGCAATTTTAGACCTCCCAATTACGAGGAAAGGTTATGGGAGCAGCTCAGGCAAAGACGGCAGGGTCGTGATGAAAGATTAAACATTTATTGTTCGGAAATGGAAAATTCCTTTGCACTGCTCGGGAATCCTCCTTCTGAGCAGGAAAGATTGTCTTTCATTAAAGCCCGGCTTGCGCCCTTCTGGCTATTAAATTTGCCTCTGGACAGAATTTATTCCATTGATTCACTCGTCGCCGAAGGTCTTAGACTCGAGGCAGTAAAATGTTTAGTTGACGAGTATACAGATCCCACTGCTCCATCCAATCCAGTTGAAAAAGACTTGGTGTACATATCAATTAATGATGGAAAAAAGGGTGCTGGCGGCCCTTCAAAAACGTGTGTAGCAGGAATTTGTTGTGGCGCGGCGAGTACTGGGTCGTTTTGTTGTGCGGCGCGTGCTGCTGGTGTGCAGAGCGCGTCGGGCAATTCGCAGGCGACGAATACTGTGCCGCCGCAACAAAATTCAAACCGTGGAAAAGGTAATTGGAGAAATTATTCCCGTGGCGGGCGACAAGCTCACGGTGCTCACACGAATAATCAAAATACAAGCGCGCCTTCACAGACAAATAACGCATCGGCGGCGAAAATGTGCTGGAATTGTTTCCAACAAGGGCACAGTTTCAGGCAATGTTCGCAGCCTAAGAGGGGTTTGTTCTGTTGGGGTTGCGGCAAAGATGGGGTGGCGCGCGCCAATTGCAGCAAAGAATCATGCCGGCGAGCAAAAAACTCGCGCGGGGCCGCTGCGTCTGGAGCGTCGCGTGGCACGCCCAAAACAAATCAAACCGTTCCGCAAAGTGCTGGAAGCGGCACGTCAACAAATTAAGACTTGATATCGTGCGGAAAAGACTTGGCGGCATTTTACTAAAATGTAAACAGGAGCAGAATGAGGAGCGAAATGATGATTGCGAACAAATTAGCGATGACGATCGTTTGTTTTTGAAAGTTAAAATTTTGGATGTTCCAATCATTGCTTTGCTGGACTCAGGCGCATCTGTTTGTGTTTTAGGCGAAATGATCTGATTAAAGACTTAAATTTAAAAATTCAGCCTTGCAAAGTGAAAAACGTCGAGCTCGCAGATCATTCTTCCCAACCCGTTCTTGGAGAGTTAGATTTGACAATTACTATAGGAAAAGAAAATTTTGTTGTAAAAACTCTCGTAGTGCCAGCTATTAAAACAAGTCTAATTCTCGGTCTAAATTTTTGGCATGATACAAAATTCATACCTGATGTGTCAAAGGGCGAATATTATTTTGGCACGAAGACCTCTAATTCATTTTCGAAAAATCCCGTGGTGAGCGAGATTAAAGTGTTAGTGACGGACACGCAGCGAGCGTCGTTCGACCAGTTCATAAAAGGGGTGAAAAATGATTTCCCTGATGAACTTGGTAGGTGCAATTTTTTATGCCACCACATAGCGACGGGAAATGCACAGCCTGTCAAAACCAAACAGTATTACATTCCCCCAAAACAATTAGAAATTATGCATAAAGAGGTAGACAAAATGTTAGCGCTTGGCGTTATTGAACCGTGCATAAGCCCTTGGTCTTCTCCAGTATTTTTAGTGCGTGATCCTAATGGAAAGAAAGATCCGCGTTTTGTAATTGATATGAGAGAAGTAAATAAAGTGACCGAAAGTGACGCCTACGCAGTTCCGTTGATGGCAAATATTATTGACAGTTTAGGCGATGTTAAATTTATCTCCACAATAGATTTGAAAAAGAGTTATTGGCAAGTTGGTTTAGACGACGAAAGTAAGCCAAAGACTGCATTTTTTGTACCAGGAAGGGGTCAATTGCAATTTAAAGTTATTCCTTTCGGCGCGAAAAATTCAGGTCCAGGTTTTATACGAGTCATCGACCGAATTATTTTTAACTCTTGGATAAGAAAATATGTTCATGTCTACATTGATGATTGTTTCATTGGCACGCCTACACTTGAATTGCATATTAGAGTTCTCACCGAATTTTTTCGACTTTTAAAAGAGGCCAATTTAACCCCAAATTGGGAAAAATGTAAATTTTTGCGACAGTCGATTAAAATTCTCGGCTATGTTTTGGATGAGAACGGACTGCGCACAGACCCAGAAAAAGTGTCTGCCATTCTGAATTTAGCACGACCTCAGAATGAAAAGGACGTCAAAAGTTACGTCGGAGTTCTTTCATATTACCGCAGACTTTTCCCAAACTTGAGCACAATTTTGGAGCCCATAATAAAATTAACCAGAAAGAAAAACAAATTCATTTGGAGTGAGGAGCAAGAAGACGCGTGGATTAAATCTAAAAATATTCTTGCCTCTGATCTCGTTGTGCGGCTCCCAGATTTCTCAAAAACATTTATTTTGTCAACAGACGCATCTGATTATGGGATTTCAGGAGTTTTGTCCCAAATATTTGAAGATGGCGAGCGACCAATATTTTACGTCAGCCGCTTATTAACTGAGCCAGAAAAGAATTATCCAACTATGCAGAAAGAAGCTCTAGCAGTTATTTGGTCCATTGAAAAGTTGGAAGGGTATTTGTCGTATAGTAAATTTGTGCTCGTAACAGATAACAAACCCTTAAAATTTATTCAAGATCTCAAAAAACCTAAAGGTCGACTGGCCAATTGGAAGTTTAAACTGCAGCAATACGATTTTGACATCGTGCATAAACCAGGTCGATTAAATGTAGTTCCGGACGTTTTGTCTAGATCATTTGCAGAAAATGTAAAAGTGGCGCAAATTAATATAAAAGCACCAATTCGAGACACATGGTATATTAATTTGATGGCAAAAGTTAAGCAGAGTCCAGATAAATTTCCTTTATTTAAAGTGGTTCAAAATAAATTGTACAAAATTGTTAAGTCTTGGAATCCACTTGAAGACTCATGTTATATACTGGTAGTGCCAAAAGATTCACGCCAAATGATTATGCATAAAATGCACAGCACACCCGAAGCCGGACACGTTGGATTTTTTAAGACATTTAATCGCATTTCAGAGCAATATTATTGGCCGAAAATGCGGGCTGACATATCAAAGTTTGTAGGAAATTGCCGGCAATGTTTAGAGCAAAAGCCTAGTCAAGCTGCTACGGCAGGATTGATGAATTCGCGAGTCGTAGATCATCCTTGGCAAGTCGTTTGTACGGACATTGTTGGTGAGTTTCCCAGGAGTACTCAAGGTTTTAAATATGTTTTAGCTCTTGTTGATTTTTTTTCAAAGTTTGTAATGCTGTTTCCATTAAAAGACGCTGACGCAAAATCAGTTTGCAAATCAATTGAGTCAGCAATTCAGCAATACGGTGCTCCTGAACTTTTAGTTCAAGATAATGCAAAAATCTACCACAGTAATTTATTCAAAAATATGGCAAGAAAATACAATGTAGGGTTGCAATACACACCTCGTTATCATGCCCAAGCTAATCCAACAGAAAGAGTTAATAGAGTTTTTGAAACAGTAATGCGATGTTTTATTACGGACAATCAAAAAGAGTGGAGTTGTAATTTGCCTCAAATCGCTTTTGCAATGAACTCCGCAGTCCACGAGACAACACGCTATTCTCCATTTTTTCTTTTCTTGGGCAGACAACCCACATTTGATGGCTCTGATTCAATTAAAGAAAATGATTTTTCAACGCCAGATCAAGTAGAAAAATACGTTGCGCGTTTTCCAAAATTGAAAAAAATTTACGAGCTCGTAAAAATAAAAATGCTTGAGTCAGCCAAAAAGAATAAATCTTACTATGATTTGCGCAGGAGACCTAATGAGTTGAAAATAGGAGATATGGCAATGAAGCGCAATTTCGCTTTGTCAAACAAAGGCGCTGGAATCTCCGCCAAATTATTACCATTTTTTGTTGGTCCATTTCTGCTTCAAAGAGAAGTCGCAGATAATATTTTTTTGTTAGTTGATCCCTCAGATCATTCAAAGATTATTGGAGAATTTCATGTCAAAGATTTGAAAAAAGTTAAGCCGCCATAATAATTTTTCCTCCGTAAAAATTATTCTTTTGGGGCGGGGAGTATAACGAATTTTAATTAATTTCCAAAATTAATATTAAATTCTCATGTGATATTATTTCCAATAATCCCTTCCTTTTCCTTTTACACAAATAATAATTAACGCGTGTGCGGCGAGCAAGTTAAAGAAGAGAGAGAGCGAGCGAGCAGCAGGCAGCGAGTGATAAGAACAATGAAGGTCATTGACTCCCTCCTTCGCTGCAGCCGGTCAAAGTGCAACGCTTGCCACCATACAGGTAAACCGGGGAAGAGCACGGCGCTCTTATGCGAATCAAATCAGTCGCCCAGCCAAATTCAACGGGGCCGCCTCGCGCCGTGGTACCGGCGAGGCGAGAGCTCAAACTTTCACCCTTTTGGGGGTGGATTTAATTTGCATCTGGTCTTTGGACCGACAGAGTAAGTTACTCTAAAATTCTTGGTTTAATCGGGCGATTAATAATCAAGAGCAACCTTCTGATTGCTCAAATCAAATTTCTTCGGGCAGGGTTTTATTCTTAAATTAAAGACTGGTTTGATTGCGCACCCTAGGTTTGCCCTGGTGGGCGGTCACCCCTGGACGGACTTGCTTCCTGAGTCCATGGCCGCCACCAGAGCCGTGTCCCTGGCGTCGTAAGGGACAGGCGGACAGGTCCCACGTCACCTTCGACCTGACCGCGTGGCTTCACCATCCAGCCACCCAGACCGGCAGCAATCGTGCCAATTCGATCGACTCGAGCAACGACTCGCCGCGACCATCACCTCCGATCACTGCACCATCAAGACAACGAACTCGATAAGTACAATTTGCGAGTGCAACTTCAGTGATAAAATACGAAACGCGTAAAAGGCCTATTTCAAAATATTTGTATATTAATCATGTGAAACACATTTTCCTTACCTAATCCATATTACCTCATTTGAATATCACATTTTTTCTATTTTCAAAATAACCAAAACTTTCATTAAAATTTAATCAAAAAATAATAAGTTTCAATTTGAGTTTTCCTGAATTAAATTATCTGCATTTTATTTTGTGTGCTTTCAACCCTCTCACAAGTTTAAAAAAGGTCTACCTGCACCTTGAGATAAGAAGCCGAGGTTAAAATAAATAACGGATTAAAGTTAACTTTTTTAATCGTTATACCCTTTTCAGGGTATGTATATTATGAAAGCATGAAAGTTTTTTTTTTAATTTTTTATATTCCGTATGTATTTTGTGTGTCAAAATTTGACAATACTTGCGAACTTTTATAACTTATATATAAGAAATATTTTAGTTTCAATATAGAGGTTCTGAGCAAGCCGGCATTTTGCGGCCTTCACCTATGTTTTCAAATTTTCGAACCGGTCGGGCCAAGCCAACTCAATGAGGAGAAGCTGAAAACCAAATGAAGAAAAATGAAATATTGTTACAATATTTAATTTTTCTTCAGTTACTTAATATTTTTTAATGCAAGCGAAAAATAATAGCATCATTTCGCTACCATATTTACCCTTTTTTATTTATAATTTTGTTATTAAAAATTGTTGCGTCACCTTTTTGAATTTTTATTCATGCAAAAATTGCCCAGCCGATTAATTAGCCAGCCGCAAGCCGCCACAACTAAAAAAAATTAGCGCAATCTTTATAGGTATAGTACACGATTGAAATTCGGGCAAACGAAATTCGCTGAGCAAACAAGAAACTGTCGCGCAAACATTTTTGTGTTCGCTTGAAGCTTCGACGATTGAATTATAATTTTTGCGCAAACTTACGATAATATCACGTCGAATGAACCTGATAAATAAATTGATTTAAAACTATAAAATTTAATTTAAACTGTTAAAGTTAGAAATCTGTCAAA